AGATTCGGTTTCAGGCTTTTAAATCAGTAACTTGTTCTTCATCAAAATCGGGAAATAAACTTCCAAAAGATGGCAGAGAAACTCATAAATTTTATATGAAACAACATCAGGTTGGAATAAAACTCATGTTCATGTATTTCCACTTGAGATGCCAATATTTTCCCAGGACCTTTCTCTTTTTTATTTGGGAGACATTCTGTCAAGGATTTTACGACAAAAGAAAAGTTTGTCTACCCGCAAGATGCCTAGCTAATTTCATTCCATAAGATACACTAAGGAAAAATCAAGAATCGATAGATAATATTGGTATTTAACCTTATTTTGATATTTATTTTTAAGGTTATGAACTAAGGTCCTTTTCTTCGAGTGCCTTGAAGAGATTTCGCAGCTGTTGCTGGTGAGACAAGCTCATCAAATGTCTCCAAATCGATTCTCCCATTTAAAGCATATTAAGCCAGCCAGCCGGGCCATGTGTCGGCCGGGAGAAAGTCGGATATCCTTGCCAGGATGTGCCACACTCTCCTCAGGAAGGCGGGGCTGGTGGGGAGTTGTAATTTAATTAAGTTTCGCACCAAGTAACAAGCTAAACAAAAGCAGCAAAAACTGAGAGGAAAAATCAAACAAAAACTCACGAAAAAAAGATGTATCCTTAGAAAGGACACTGATTGCTGTTGAAAGGAAAAAAGTGGCTATACTTGGCCGCAAATCCAATGCAATTTAATGGGAAATCCCCCGAATATAGCTGATTGGGGGGACAATTATGGAAATACGCTTTTATGGAGCTTATTAGGTTGGGGATTAGGAGACGATGGGTCCTTGAATCGGAAAGTATTATAGAGGTAATAGGGGGATATCCTTATAATTGAGAAGGTAATAAGGATCTAATAGCCTTAGATAGTGGGTGAGGATAATGGAGCATTATAGCAGGTTTAGAATATGATGTATTGATGATGTATATTTTTACATCCAAAATTAATTCCACCATACACGGATGCTGGACGAATGAATAAATCATGGCCTTGAGTCATCAATCAAAAAGTCAAGCAGCCCAAAGTGCCCCAAAGTACCGCAAGTATCAATCACTTTGTTACGGTTATGGAACACAATGAATCCCCGGAAAATCCCCAACAGCAACGCACCGCAATTTCCGAGAGCGTCCTCCTGCCACCTACTGGTGGGTGCCCCTCAACTGTTGCACGCAGCCAATTGCACCTCCATCGATGGTTGCAATGATAAATGGATAAATGGATGGATGGATGGATGTGTGGATGCTGCAGCATGACAGTGGCTAATTAAGCCATCAAAATGTCCGGAAAATCACCTGGGATGTGGGCCGAAAGTGGCAACACGCGGTCTCCCATCCCTGTGGCAGAAAGGACATGCCACCTTATAGCATCCTAATAAAGATAATATCCTAGAAAGCCTTATAGACTCACCTCTGTAGAGTGGAAACTCGCCGTCGCTGTGGCTGTGGCACAACATTATGGGGCTGCGGCAACGGGAAGCTGCCACCATGATTCCCGTTTTGTGGATGCTCAGCTGGTTGTTTGGAGTTGCCGCTGCCACGGCTGTTGCAGATACGGATGTTGCAGTGGCAGTGGCTGTGGCCGTGGCTGCTGCCGCCGCGGATGCAGTGGCGCCCAGCGAGTAAGAACGCGACACATGGCTCAGAGTGCGGCGTCTAATGGTGGCTGCATTTCCGGTGCCTGAGGCCGAGGCGGCTGCTGCTGCCGCCGCTGCAGCTGCTGCAACATTGCGATAATGATGTTGCGGCGTCGAGTACTGGCAACCGGCCCGCCCCCCGCCAGTGCCCCCACCAGCCTGCAGCTGCATCTGGAGCTGCTGGTAGCCACCTAGCGACAGGTGGTGTTGCAACGGCGGGTGGTGCGAGTGGTGCAAGTGAGACTGCTGTTGTTGTTGTTGTTGTTGGTGTTGCTGATGGTGCTGCTGCGCCTGCTGCGGGGGGTTGGCTTGGAACGGCGGATGCGAGTGCTGGTGTTGCAACAGCTGGCGCTGCTGCTGGCTGGGCATGGCCATCTGGAACTGCTGCTGCAGCTTCTGCAGCAGCTCGTGCTGCAGTTGCTCGTTGGTCCTGGCATCCTTTTCCGGATTGGGATTGCCGCTCGGATTGGGATTGGGGATGGGGGGGTTCTGCTGCTGCTTCTCCCAGGGCCCGTTGCTGTCGCTGCCGCTGTAATCCAGCTTGAGGCTGTGATCCTTGCCACCAAAGGATATTCCCGAAACACACACCACTAGATCATCCTAGCCCTGGCAGGTCAAGGCTGCTTCAAACTACTTCCAGGAGGGCTGGTCTTATTTTTTTTTTATTTAAAATTCTGGACCAGCCAGATTTTTTAATTTTTTTTAAATTTATTTTTTAAAAAACACACACAAACTCCGCGGCACACACACACACACACACTCTTACAGACGGCCTCCCAGCGGACGCATATGTATGTCACTCAAAGGACCTAGTTCGGCGCGAGATGAACAGGTTCTAACGGTATCTGGGGGAGAGCTGTGTTCGGGAGAAGCACGACACTCTCTCCCGGGTGAAAAGTGCCGCTTCACCGACCAGAGACGCTGGGCCAAAGTACGACGACTGATTGCGCCGAGCTTTGTTATCCTGCGAAAAAGCTGGCAGGACACCAGAAAGCCAAAAGCGCAATCAGCCGAGAGCGAGGAGAGCGAGGGAGCGAAGTTGGAGAAAAAGAGAGTATCAGAAAGTGAGAGAATCAAAAGCGGAGATAACAATCAGAGATGCATGGAAATAACAACGTGTTTGAACATGTTCACTTGCCTACAAGAATTTATAGTTGGGAATTATAAAAAAAAGCGTTAAATAGCTTTTGCTTTGGGAGTTTTTATATATTTCTACTTTTATTTGTTATTATTTCTTATTAAAGCTATACGATTTCTTCTCAGTGCATCATAGCGAGTGAGAGGGCTGTTTATGAAAGTGGCTTTCGTTCCAGAAGAACTTATGTTTTGCCAACTCTTTGGTTTCCTTCTGGTCCTTTCAAAAGGATGCAGGGCAATGACAACAACAGCTGCCACAACGACCCGATTGTTTGGCACAGTTAACCATCACAGATGAGCAGACAGTGGGACCAGATACATCAAAATAAAATTAGTTCAAGGTTGAGGTTATGTTTTGAGTAATCATATCTATTGTTTAGATTAAATATATACGATAGATTGATTCTGATTGATAAGAAGTATGAAATATATTATATATTGGTTATCAATAGCCTATATAGTAGAACAATCAACAAATAATCTTGAGGAATGTCGATTGCCTATCAAAGATAACAAAGCCCCATAAAAATAATTATAAAATCCAGACTGAACCAGTTTCTCGTAAGAACCTCTGAGGTCCAAGGCACCTGAGGGCCCACTGTCGCCCACTGGGTTCATTCACCCAACCATTTGACCAGATTGTGGGCGGCGGTGGACCAAGGGGCGGGGCCGAGACCGGGCCGAGGAAAACAGCTGCTCCTTGGAAAATGCTCCTGCGAGAGAAGCCCCAAAAAAAGCTTCTCAAAAGAGCTTTGGAGGAGAAAAACGAGTTTAAAAATCGTATCGGATGCTGTCGGGAAACCAGAAGGAGTCCGAACCCGAAAGGAATATGTTTTGCTTTGTTTGGCCAGTGCCATAATTTATTTATGCATTTGTCACTGTTTTTCGTTATTTTGATAAAGTTGTAGCCAGATAATTTGGACAGGACCCACGGGAACTCGAAACAGAACAGAGCCCAGGACAGGACAGGGCCCATCGGGATGCTGTTCTCCCCTTTCTGGATATATATTTTTAATGTTTCTCCTGTTTTTATTTGGGCCATTATGTCTGTGATAAGGCTTGGGGAGAGAAAGTCGATATCGTAATATAAACACGAAATAGGAGCCCAGAAGAAGCCAGCCAGTCTCCCTCGGATGGGGGAGAAAAACCGAAATGTGGATGCCATTCGCAGGGGCGACCCGAAAAAGATGAGGTGGCCAAGGGGGCCAGGCACTGAGAGGAAATAATACTATATTTTATAATGAATATTATATATGAGAGGGAGGAAAATGATCTGTAGAAGACCCTTAATTCTATACATCCTTTTAACATATTCTCAAACCGACTCTAATTTTTTTTCAGTGCCTGGTACATAGGGGTTATTGGGGTGCCTTTCGGCCCGCGTGGGTTTTGTTGATTTTGCGTGCGCATAAAAAATCGAAATGGGGGGGGTTCCGGGGGCTCCTCGGTGTTCAAGGGTGGGGGCCTGGGGAGGCGACAATCTCTGCGTTTTCTGGGTTTTCGGCTGCTGGAGCCGCTTGTTTCGCATTCTGCACTTCTGTGGTTGAGGGCCGACTCGTTTAGGGGCGTGTACCCCTCTTTCTGGGGGCGGACTCTGTCCTGGACTCTCACTCACCTATGGTATCACGGTCGTAGATGTAGTTGCTGGCACTGCTCTTGATGCTGATGGAGTCCAACGGAGTCGACGGTGGCTCGAAAATGTCAAAGGAGCTGCAGGACTCGGCCGAGGGCGTTGGTGGCGCCACCACTATCCTAGTCGCTGTATCATCACATTTATGGAGGGGGGGATCAAGGATAATGCAAAAAGAAAACAAAAAGTGGATGTACGAAATAAATATTTTGGATGGAAAACCAAAGGAATAATAATGTTCTTAAAAAAAATAGAAACTAAAGGGAGACTTAATGGAATACATGGCGTATGCGTGATATTTCTACTAATAAAGTTTTTAGTTTTTTTTACCTTTGGACTTTCCGAAGAAATAAAACAATATTTTTTATAAAATTTCTTAATTTATGTAGTTATTTATTTTTTAGGTATTTAATTATTATTTAATTTTTAGATTCCTAGAACCCCTAAAAGCCTTATAAGAGAGCCCTATGTAACTATTATAGCTCCTAAAAAACTTAAGCCCTCAACTTCTTAAAAAATCCCACAAAATCGTGTAAATTTATGAAATTTTTTAAAATTAAAAAATATCCAATAAATTTCATGGAAATTTATTTCCTCCCCCCCTTGAGTCTCTTCGACTGAGTGCTGTAGTAGTTGAGCTGCCGGTTGACCTGCGACACCACCTTCATCTGCTGAGGATTCAGGTAGACGAAGATCTCCTCGTACAGCTCCTCGGGCAGTCCCAGGAGAGAGGGCTGCAGCGTCTGGGCCATCTGAATGAGCTGCTGCGACCGCATCGGCTGGAAGACGTTGTTCTTCAGCTGGAAGGAGAGCTCGTCCAGCTTGCGGAACCGGTGGTGGATGGGCTTCGTCTTCGACTGGACGTTGAGCACGTAGCGGCCGATCGAGAGGCTGATGCTGTAGCCGGGCAGGTTGGAGCTGGGCGCCGGGGAGAGGGTCACCATTAGCTGGTCGCCCACGGTGATGGCCGTCAGGCGGGACTGCAGGGCGGCCACCAGGGCGGCGCCCTCCGAGGCGTGCTTGTCCAGCAGGGTGCGCAGGCGCATCGAGTACATGGTGTCGTTGAAGCTGACCGTGTAGTTGGCGGGCTGTTCACTCAGCAGCCGGACGTTGCGGGCATGGAAGCTGCTGAAGGTCGCCACCGGCTCCAGGCGGTGCCTCTTCTGCATGTACGTCTCCTCCTCCGCGAAGCCCGACTCCAGAGCCAGCAGGTAAATCAGCAGGAGAAGCAGCTCGGGAGCCGGCGGGTACTTGCCGTCCTTGTACTGATCCATTAGCTTCTCCAGGTGCTGCGGCACCGACTCCAGGCTGGTGTGTTCCAGGATCAGAGGTGGCAGCTCCAGGGTGCGGCTTATCGGCAAGAATCGTTGGCGGTGCTTCTTCGGGGCTGCAACGAGGTGTTTGGGTTTGGGGGGGTTTCAGTAATTAGACTCGCAGACGATTAGTTAGTCGGTGTGTGTGTGTGTGCTTAGTAGGTGTATTAATTCGAAACTTCATTAATCGCAGCAACTAACCTGCTGGGTGCTGTGTGTTTAGGATACATACTTTCAACACTACGGAATGGAACACAGAGGTAACTTAAAACACGCGTTTTGGGCAGAAACTAAAACACGAAAGTCGGAGGGAGGCGGAGGCGGAGGCGGAGGGCGGGAAGATACACTAATTTAATAACCGAATAAACTTAATAACAACTACGGTAGCGACTTAGATTAGAGAATTACTTTAAAAGGAGGCATGCCTAAGATGGAAAGGGTAATATAATGTTTTGTACAAAAAATAAATTAATTATGAATACATTTAAATGATAAATACTCTTGCTTACTATGTGCTTAGCTTGTTTATGATTTATTGGAATTCTCTACCAATTATTATGAGGTACTATATATGTCTATGTAAACACTATAGATAAGTCAGGAAGAGTTATTTATCATTTGGTGACAGGAGGACTTATGTTTACTCTACTTTTTATAGCTAAACTAAGTATACTTAATGTCTAGCCCCTCTTGTGGTGTTCTAGGTTAAACATGCAACAATTTTAGTTGGTTTTGGATCAAACTTTTTGTTGCAACATGGAATATTCTCAATGTTTAGGGTCTAGGGTCCCAATATTGCAACAAAAAGCCTCTTGAACTTGCTGAGCTTCTTAATAAATCAGGATCTACAAGTAAAATGCGTTATTTAAAGGATACACCAAGGAGGACCAAGTCTTAACCAGCTTCTTTGTTTACTAACCAGATTCCGGGGCTTTAGCTTCGCCTGTTGCTCCACCTTGTGGGGGGACCTGTTGCTCCTGCTGCTGTTCGCCGGATGTCGAGGGTCCGGCCATTTCGACTAGTGCAGGGTTTGCCATTTCCGACTTCTCCTCGGACATTTCTAGATTTTCAAACAACGAATTTTGTGCGAGCCTATTCAAATAATGGAGTGACTGTCATTTCTGGCTGGACTTGTCAATGACAATCAGAAAACACTGGCTACTGCGTGGGTGCGCTGGCATTTATGGCGATTGGTGGAGGCACCATTGGGTGGGTGGGGAGATACTTTTCACCGGAATTCCCCGCAAATGCAGCTACAGATGTTACACTTTATAGCGGGACTAAATTACAGTCTATTTACAAATATTTTCATTTTTCCAGAAAAAAAAGCTTTTCGCGTCATCGTCCATTCCGCGTCATCGCAAAACCCGATACGACCGATTAGTCATTTATTTACGACAGGTGGTGAAATGTCGGTCGGTAAATTATATTAATAGGCGTTTTTCGGGAATAGAAGAATAGGAAATCACATAAATTCTTTTAAAAAAAATAATTTGCGAGACACAGCTGGCACTTTTGTTATGGCACTTTCCAATACTAAAAGCTTGATTCCGAAGCGCTGCCAACTTGTTTTAATTTTATTTGATGGATTTATAACTAATCCCTCTTTACTGTTTTATTGATTTAAAAATAACATAATTTAATATATTTTTTTAGATAAATAAATATTTATAATTTAATATATATAGGCGCATTTTGATATACTAAAATACGGTCCCACTACTGTCCTGTTTCTAAGCCAACAGGTGGCGCCATAGTTTGTTTATCCAGCTGACTTAAGCGGCTTCCAGAGAGCCGGAATTTGAGGATATTCCGGATTAAACAATAAAAATCAAAGAAAAACCCTTGAAAAGCCTTAGTTTTCTTGAAGAATAGTCTGCCCCGTTAAGAAGGATGACCCCCGACGAGGAAAATGAAGCCTACATGGTCAAAGAGGCCCAGAGGTTGCGAAAGAGCGATCCTTGCGCGGCCAAAGCCTGGATTATTACGGCCAAGACGCTGTTTCCCAATGCCTTCACTGTGCAGTACGAGGCATACATTCTGGAGCGGGATAGCAAAAACTACGAGGAAGCGGCCAGGTGTTTCAGCAGCATGTGAGTAAACTATTCCACTTAATTCAAAAATATTCACCGAGAACCACCCCCGCAGAGCCACCAATTTTCCCAACCAGCACTCGGAACTCTGGCAAGAAATCAATTCGCTAACAAACGCCCTGAGGAACGATTCGGAGAGCTCGCCGGAACAGGAGTTCTACGTGAAGATGTACAAGCACTTGACGCCGGAAGTGCAGCACAACGTCTTCATGCACACAATCAACAACTGCGGCGACAACCTGGAGCAGTGCATCTCCATGTACATACTGATGTTCAACAAGTTCCCCAAGTCGGCGCTAACCCAGGCCCCCAGGCTCCTGGAAATGGTCGTGGAGGGCATGAAAACGGAGCTGGACTTGTACCAGAGGGTTCTCGTAGAGGAGGTGCTGCCCCTGATTCAGAACAAACCCCCAGAACTGCCGCCTTCCACCGCCTGCAGACTGTACATCAGCTCCCTGGAGTATTACATAAGGCAGATAATGGACGAATCCGACAATTCGGACGCGTGGAAGAACGTCTTTAAGGTGCTGACGATCTGCGGACAGATGATGGGCTGGGAACCCTTTCTGCCCTTCAACAAGAACCTGAGTCTAAACGTATACTGGGAGAGGCTGGTGGACATTCTGTCGAGCAGTCCCAGTGGCAGTACCCATGTCCTGTTCTACGCCACCACCCTTTTCATTTACTCGCTGCACGGCTACAACCGGAACTGCAAAATAAGAATCGAGGATGCCGACGTTAGCCACGTGCTGGTGGAGGGCTTCCTGGAGTGGTCGCCCGAAGGTGATGGCTCTGATGTTGCCTGCATGGAGCCACCCAAGTTTTCGCTCACCTCTCCCGTGAGTACGGAGCTGTCCCAGGCATTCCTCCAATCCGCCCAGTGCTGGCAGCTGCTCAATACGGATCAGTTCCAGAAGGACTTCAGCCAACTGATGCAGGCTCTGCCTCTGCAGCCGTGGATTTCGCGCTTCCTCTTCGATTTGGCCATTTATTTCGGCCATCGGGACGAGGCCAACAAGCTGATGTCGGAGATGACCAACCAAAACGGTCTAGTCCAGAGCCTACAGATCCTGAGCCTCCATCTAATGCAGAACAGCATGACGGTAAGTGTTGCAAACCAATCCTTTCATATCCTTGCATTTATGGACTTCTCCTTCAGCTCCAAGGCTTCCAGTGCATCTTGAAAATCATCGCCGAGCTACCAGCCACTCCAGTGGGCCAGCTGTTGGACAACATGACCCTCAAGGGGTACCGTCATGTGGTGTTTCTGCCGCTGACGAGGTCCGCCTTGGTCCAGTACTGCGTGGGAGCGATCGTCAGCAGGCTCGGCCGCAAGGTCTTTGAGCCCAACTGCCCAGACAGACTGCTCTCAGATCTGCTGGTTCTCCAGCAGCTGAATCTGCTCAACGACGTCCTTCTCACCCAACAAATCTTCACCTTGATAAGGCAGAGGAAGGCCTTCAACCTGCGCACCCTGTCCACCTACATCATCTCCATCGACTTCATCGAGGAACTCGCCCACATTTGGAACTCGCAGCAGGAGGACAACTTCGAGCTGACCAGCTCGCCCACCAACGGCTCCAGTGGCGCGCCAGCTCCAATCAGCGCGTCAGGGGGAGCTCCCACCCGCCGAATAGGGACGAGGGGGGCTGATAAGGGGGCCAAGGATGAGTTCAAGGCCATCACCCGGCAGCAGATTGCCCGGTGCAACGAGAACGTCATTACTCTGCTGGCCAACTTCATCAGCCAGGAGCACATAATGTTGGCTCAGCACATTTTCGGAATAGCCCAGCCTGTCGAGACGATAGTGATTAAGTGAGAGAGGGTTTTGTAAGGTAATTGCATCTAAGATTAGGATTAAGATTAATATTTCTGATTGAAATACATCATATTCTACCTATATTTCGTTATCTTTTAGATTTTGTGATGAAACAGAGATTAGGAGAGAGAAGAAATGGATGAAGGGACTAATTCTCCATATAATTCATAGACAGGAAGGTTTCTTTTTAACTTTATTCTATCAACAAATTACAGATATCAATGCTTAGTTAGTATTATAAATTAGTACCACGCTGACTAGAGGATTACCTTTATCAACACCTAAAATTGGCGGGGTGTGTCGTCGAGGCCACATTCTGATATGTTTTGCACTTAAATGCTCTCACTTTATTCAACGATTCTAGACCATATATCTAACTATATCTTAGGAGTACAACATGGACAACAATCAGGTTCACTTTCGTACCATAAATGTATACATGTATTCAAGTGATTAAGCCTCTTTGGTTTACATAACATGGATGTGCGTATGACTTTGAAATTTTAGGTTGGTTTCTCTGGAAACCACAAAAATATGCCCGGACTAGCGCGTGGTCGGCTCCTCGACAGCCTTCCGAGATTTGGCATCGCTCGCCAGCGTCAGATGAGCCTTGGATGTGTCCATCCCGCCGCTCTCCAGGTCGAGGTCCAGTCCGAAATCGTGCTTCATGTAGGAGATGAGGACGTTATACACCGCCGTGCAAACGTTGACGAAGGTCACGCGGTACTTGGTGTCCAGGTAGCGGAAGTTCAGGTACTGCGCCGCCGGCCATGTCATCCAGTCCAGCAGATAGACGTACGGAAATTTCTCGATTAGCTCCTTGTGGGTCTGCTCCAGGGTTTGGCGCTCCAAGTAGCACACCGTGTAAAAGAAGATTAGGATGCAGGCGGGGGACATGACGAGCTGATCGATCAGGATCTTCTTGAGAATGTTCTTGAAGGTGCGGGCCGGCATCACGCGATCCATCCAGTTGTAAACGTAGTGGTGGAGAGGGCCCTGCAGTGCTCCGGCCACAAACATGCGGTACATGCGATCCGTATCGAAGCGATCCTGCTGCCGCATTCCCCTGCGGTACTCGTACTCCTGGGCTATCGCATCGCCCACCACCATCAGCAGTCCCGATCCGAAGACGTTGGTGATCAGAAGGTACTTTCCGAACATGTTGCTCCACGCAATTTTGGTCCATCGCGTCAGTAGGAAGGTCAGGTGTCCTCCAGTCTCGCCCTTGCCGTGGGCCAACCGCACTCCTCCTGAGCTCAGGCTAGTTCTTACCACCGGTGGTTTAAGCTTGGAGACGACGGCTGTGAAGTTTCTTCTCGTGACCACGACGGATATCCTTCTCGGGGCATGGTTCTTCAGGATCAGGGGGCCTGCCAGTGGGCGCAAGCAGCGCAATGTGAACATCGCCGCCGGGATTTCAATTGAAAGATGTGCGCCCGTGTGTGTTATCCTATTATTTATGCAGCTATGTTATGAAAGTCTTGTTTGTTATCATTTTGACTTAAAACTAACAGCTGATCGGGCTGCTCAAGTGTGACCAGGCAGAGGCGCGATTCAAATGTCAAAAGCGGTTATAAATTTCCGATTTCATTATATTTAAATTAAATTTAATAATATTATTTTTAAAAATCTCTACAAGACTTTTACACGGAGGTCTGATATAATCGTAACGTTTAGGACAGACTTCCTTCGGAATGAAAATTAAGGCATAATTTAATAAACTTAGAAAGACCATAAACAAGGTAATAGAAACGGAACTGTTATAAATTTTTACCGAAAATTGATAAAAGTCTTTATTTAAAAAAGATATTGAAACACATCAGACGAATTTCCAGACTTAGTACCTCGATTGCACAGGAGTTGGAGTGGTTATAAGGGTAAGAAGCCCTAATTTTCCAAACTAGATGAAAGCCATTTGAGGGAGGAGCTTAGGGGTTATTCTACTGGACTATCAGTCTTCCCAGTTCTTGCCATATGCGTGTTTAATGTAGGAGAGCAGGACAACGTAGATACAATTAGTTACATTAATAAATACCACCCGGTACCTAGCATTTAGGTACCTAAAGTTGAAGTACTGCAGTCCTGGCCAGAAGCAGCAGTCCAGTTTCCAGGTCATGAGAAACTTATCGGCGATTTCGTCATTGGCCTCCCTATTGAAATATTTTGAGTTTGAGATATATTTAAAAATAATGTCCATACTTGATGGTGTGACCCTCCAGCAGACTACTGATATAGAAGAACAAAAAGATGTACGTCGGCGACATGATGAGCTGATCCACGAAAATCTTCCGCATCACGCCTAGCCGGGAGGTATCGGTGAAATACTGGTCCAATCGAACATAGAAGGCATGCTGTATGGGTCCGATCAGCAGTCCGGTGAGCAGCATACGAACCGTCCGGGATATATCCAACTTCTCCTTGGCCTGCACCTTGTCCTTCTTCTCCAACCGCTCGTATTGTTGCGACACTGCATCCCCGACCACAAGGAGCAGACCCAAACCCACGGTGTTTGTCACCAATAGATATTTTCCAAGCAGACGAGACCAGAAACTGGTGCTCCCCGGTTCGGGCTGCAACCCTCTTACTGAGTAATGGTTTACGATTTGATTTTTAATCCGGAACGGAATGGTCGCCGATTTTATGAGTCGAAGGCCTCTAAGCATCCTAAACCTGGGAAGTTAGGAGTTTAAATATAATATATTTGTATTAATCCCAATTATAAAAACCGCAGTAACCTGGATATGAAAGGAGGAGGAGGACTCCGCCCTCAATTCTTCCTTTGGCTTGGTAGCGTGTAAGATTTTGTATCCAAAAATTCTGTCCACATTTTGACAAGAAAAGCTTAGATTTAGTCAGAAATTAAAATATTTTTAATAATATAAGTAAAATTCTTAAATAAACCTTCTTCCCGCCACATTCTCCGAAATTGTGATACTGATTTTGAATACTGAACCATAGTGGCAACGCTAGTTGCTTTAATGTGGCTGCACTTTCTGGGATTTTGTAGGACCATATTTTAGGGTCTTTTTTTACGAGTCGGCGTCTCTTTCGTTTTGCTTTGCTCTTGTCTTCGCGTTATTTTTAGGCCGCCAAAGTGTTTTTTCGTTTTCGTGGCTGAAAAAACCGACATTCCGTCCGGTTTGCCAATATTTTCGGCACGCAACTATTTAAGGTTAGGACCGCCCATCAAACTATTTTCAAATGGTGTTTAAATATTGTTTTCATTCAGGACTCGTTTTAGCCGGCACTAGTAGGTTGTTGGCCTCCCGCAGCGATGAGGTTGCTGTACGTGTTTGCACTGATCCTGGCCGTGCGCCTGGCCTCCGTCTTCGTGGTGCAGACCTACTACGTCCCGGATGAGTACTGGCAGAGTCTGGAGGTGGCCCACAAGCTTACCTTTGGGTGAGTCCAAGAATCCAAAACCGGAACCAGCCTATTTTTAACGATGACTTCACCCTTTCAGTTACGGTTACCTCACGTGGGAATGGGTACAGGGCATCCGCAGTTACTTATACCCTGTGATTATTGCCGGACTCTACAAGCTCCTGGCTCTGCTTCAGTTGGACAGTGCTCAGCTTTTGGTTCTAGTCCCGAGAATTCTCCAGGCCCTTCTTTCCGCCTACTCCGACTACCGCTTCTATGTGTGGACTGGAAAGCGGAAGTGGGCTCTGTTTCTCATCCTGGTGCCCTGGTTCTGGTTCTACACCGGCTCTCGCACCCTGGCCAACACCCTGGAGGCTTCGCTCACCACTATCGCTCTCAGCTACTTCCCTTGGTTCGGTGAAGGAACCGTCTACCTGTGGCCCGCTGCCATCTGTTGCTTCTTGCGCCCCACAGCGGCTGTGATTTGGATTCCTTTGTCGCTGTACCATCTCCGCAAGAGTCGTCTGAGCGTGGTGCAGCTCATCCTCAAAAGATTTCTGCTGATCGGGTGAGTCTACCCCCTAATTCCACCTCTTCAGCGTAATAAGCCCACTCATTTGCAGGTTACTGGTTGCTGGCTTGGGCGTTGCCCTCGATACCTACTGGCACGGCAAGCTAGTCGTGACCCCCTACGAATTCCTTAAGTACAACATCTTCAACAACATCGGTAGCTTCTATGGCTCTCATCCCTGGCACTGGTACTTCACAGTGGGATTGCCCACTGTCCTGGGAATCAACACGTTGCCTTTTATCTACGGTATCATGGAAACGGTGCGCAAGTCGGAGAAGTTCCCGGTCAGCAAACAGCTTCTGATTACCATCTTCTTGACCCTGGTTATCCTGAGTGGCGTGGAGCACAAGGAGTTCCGCTTCGTGTCGTCGCTGTTGCCACTCTGCTTGTATGTAGCCACGGACGCCTTGTCCCGATGGAGCTACAAGGCCTCCTCATCCCTTCTGTGGGCCACTGCCTTGGTCATTCTTGTGGGCAACGCCATACCCGCCTGGTATTTCAGCACTGTTCACCAGAAGGGACCCATTGATCTGATGCCAAAGCTTAGGGAGATAGCTCAGGAATACAAAGACGAACGCGATCACCGCGCAAATATACTCTTCCTAATGCCGTGCCACTCAACACCCTACTATAGGTAAGTAGATAGATAACCAAAGCTGATCCCAAAGCATTATTGTGTTTCTTCGTAGCCACATCCATGAGAACGTTACCATGCGCTTCCTGACCTGCGAGCCGAATCTGAGCAACGCAGAACAATACAAGGACGAGGCCGACCGCTTTTTCGAAGACCCACTCCACTGGTTGAACTCAAATATTCCCGTCCATCCGCTCACGGCGCAGCCCTCTCACCTCGTCCTTTTCGATCCATTGGCCGAGAACATCAGCGTGTTCTTGCGAAACTACCGACTGCTGCACCGGATCGAGCATGCCGAGGTAACCAAGCTCGGGGGCTGGCTGGCTCTGGTTGGCGAAAAGTCACCGTATCTCGCCTCTCTCTTACAGCATCGCCAGCCGCGAACAGGCAACTCCATTTTGGTTTACCAGCGCTTGAAGGCTGGCGGAGAGAACGCCTTCAACAACGAGGAGGCCGAGGATATTCCTCTAAAAGACAACCCCCAACCACAGGAGGTACCACAAAATCAGTTCAATTAGATAATAGAGCAACAGGAAACTGGAAAGACTTTGCCAACCCACCACTCAGCCCTCCATCAAAGAAAGATGCATACGGAGAAATATTTTTAAATGCCACTCAAAACAATATATATTTTTTACCCATTTTGGCCTTACAAACAAAGATTTTAGAAATGTTGAAGCGACGAAATTATCACCTGTGCTAATGGATATTGTAGTATAGGCCATCGTAAGCATTTAGGCATAAACGCTCTAAAGAGAGGCAATATATGTTTTACGTAGTTGGTAATCCCTTGTACTGTTCTTGTTTTGTAATCTTCGAAATAAAGATTCAGTTCGAGTACAACATTTTGTATGAAGAAACAATTTTGAATAAGACCCACTATGTATGGGGAAAATGTATTTTCTGGAGGACTCCCTTCGAAATGTTGGAAAATGTATGGGGACGAGAATTGGCCCTCTGCGAAGCCTATATATTTGCCAATATCCATCCGATTCATAAACGGAATACCTTAAACGATTTGTAGATCGATTCTGAATCAATCTGCATTAAGACCTCCAAGCAAATTATTTTTTAGATTTTTTGTCAAATTTTCTGGAGGACTCCCTTCGAAATGTTGGAAAATGTATGGGGACGAGAATTGGCCCCCTGCGAAGCCTATATCTTCGGCAATATCCATCCGATTCATAAACGGAATACCTCAAACGATTTGTAGATCGATTCTGAATCAATCTGCATTAAAACCTCCAAGCAAATTATTTTTTAGATTTTTTGTCCAATATTCCGGGGGACTCCCTTCGATATGTTGAAAAATGTATGGGGACGAGAATTGGCCCTCTGCGAAGCCTATATCTTTGCCAATATCCATCCGATTCATAAACGGAATACCTCAAACGATTTGTAGATCGATTCTGAATCAATCTGCATTAAAACCTCAAAGCAAATTATTTTTTAGATTTTTTGGAGGACTCCCTATGAAATGTTGAAAAATGTATGGGGACGAGAATTGGGCCCCTGCGAAGCCTATATCTTTGCCAATATCCATCCGATTCATAAACGGAATACCTCAAACGATTTGTAGATCGATTCTGAATCGATCTGCATTAAAACCTCAAAGCAAATTATTTTTTAGATTTTTTGTCAAATTTTCTGGAGGACTCCCTTCGAAATGTTGGAAAATGTATGGGGACGAGAATTGGGCCCCTGCGAAGCCTATATCTTTGCCAATATCCATCCGATTCATAAACGGAATACCTCAAACGATTTGTAGATCGATTCTGAATCAATCTGCATTAAAACCTCAAAGCAAATTATTTTTTAGATTTTTTGTCAAATTTTTTGGAGGACTCCCTATGAAATGTTGGAAAATGTATGGGGACGAGAATCGGCCCCCTGCGAAGCCTATATCTTTGCCAATATCCATCCGATTCATAAACGGAATACCTCAAACGATTTGTAGATCGTTTCTGAATCAATCTGCATTAAAACCTCAAAGCAAACTATTTTTTAGATTTTTTGTCAAATTTTTTGGAGGACTCCATATGAAATGTTGAAAAATGTATGGGGACGAGAATTAGCCCCTGCGAAGCCTATATCTTTGCCAATATCCATCCGATTCATAAACGGAATACCTCAAACGATTTGTAGATCGATTCTGAATCAATCTGCATTAAAACCTCAAAGCAAACTATTTTTTAGATTTTTTGTCAAATTTTCTAGAGGACTCCCTTCGAAATGTTGGAAAATGTATGGGGACGAGAATTGGGCCCCTGCGAAGCCTATATCTTTGCCAATATCCATCCGATTCATAAACGGAATACCTCAAACGATTTGTAGATCGATTCTGAATCAATCTGCATTAAAACCTCAAAGCAAATTATTTTTTAGATTTTTTGTCAAATTTTCTGGAGGACTCCCTATGAAATGTTGAAAAATGTATGGGGACGGGAATTGGGCCCCTGCGAAGCCTATATCTTTGCCAATATCCATCCGATTCATAATCGGAATACCTCAAACGATTTGTAGATCGATTCTGAATCAATCTGCATTAAAACCTCAAAGCAAATTATTTTTTAGATTTTTTGTCAAATTTTTGGAGGACTCCCTATGAAATGTTGAAAAATGTATGGGGACGGGAATTGGGCCCCTGCGAAGCCTATATCTTTGCCAATATCCATCCGATTCATAATCGGAATACCTCAAACGATTTGTAGATCGATTCTGAATCGATCTGCATTAAAACCTCAAAGCAAATTATTTTTTAGATTTTTTGTCAAATTTTCTGGAGGACTCCCTTCGAAATGTTGGAAAATGTATGGGGACGAGAATTGGGCCCCTGCGAAGCCTATATCTTTGCCAATATCCATCCGATTCATAAACGGAATACCTCAAACGATTTGTAGATCGATTCTGAATCGATCTGCATTAAAACCTCAAAGCAAATTATTTTTTAGATTTTTTGTCAAATTTTCTGGAGGACTCCCTTCGAAATGTTGGAAAATGTATGGGGACGAGAATTGGGCCCCTGCGAAGCCTATATCTTTGCCAATATCCATCCGATTCATAAACGGAATACCTCAAACGATTTGTAGATCGATTCTGAATCAATCTGCATTAAAACCTCAAAGCAAATTATTTTTAGATTTTTTGTCAAATTTTTTGGAGGACTCCCTATGAAATGTTGGAAAATGTATGGGGACGAGAATCGGCCCCCTGCGAAGCCTATATCTTTGCCAATATCCATCCGATTCATAAACGGAATACCTCAAACGATTTGTAGATCGATTCTGAATCAATCTGCATTAAAACCTCAAAGCAAATTATTTTTTAGATTTTTTGTCAAATTTTCTGGAGGACTCCCTATGAAATGTTGAAAAATGTATGGGGACGGGAATTGGGCCCCTGCGAAGCCTATATCTTTGCCAATATCCATCCGATTCATAATCGGAATACCTCAAACGATTTGTAGATCGATTCTGAATCGATCTGCATTAAAACCTCAAAGCAAATTATTTTTTAGATTTTTTGTCAAATTTTCTGGAGGACTCCCTTCGAAATGTTGGAAAATGTATGGGGACGAGAATTGGGCCCCTGCGAAGCCTATATCTTTGCCAATATCCATCCGATTCATAAACGGAATACCTCAAACGATTTGTAGATCGATTCTGAATCAATCTGCATTAAAACCTCCAAGCAAATTATTTATTAGATTTTATGTTAAATTTTCTGGGGGACTCCCTTCGAAAGCAGTGGAAATCAATATTTACTCTACTAGAGTTCGAAAGTATTTAATTTATAAATTAAAAACGAAAACCGTGATCTTAAATATTTATATATCGCGATCGATAGGCACTGAGTGAGTCGATACTTCCGCCATGTGGCAACTCTTTCGCCCCCATCGCAATAACTTGTAGGTGGCTGCGCGTTGCCAGATCCCACGGCGACACCTTCTGTTCGGCAGATTTCGCATTAATTAAACGCGATTTAAACATATAATTTGCTGCACCGCTCCACCGCACAACCACACACACAGACAAAATGGCTGCTTCGATGAGGGCGCTGCTGAAGGTGCGAGGTGCGTATCCTGGGGTTTATCGGTTGCCTAACATTGGCCCCGTAAATTATATAACTTTCGATGGATTTATGGTACAAAAAAACCGACAGGGCAAACAAATAGAGGGCACCTGTGCGCCCCTGACCGATGCTGATTAATCAGCTTTAATTGGGATTTAAAATCTGGCTCAGTTGGCAATCCCGCATATACGTGGCTGCATTAGCGGTGCACCATGGTGGGGGTGGTGGTGCGGCAGGGGGATGTATGTGGTGCCGAGGGGGTGTGTGTTCAAGGTTCGCATGTGACCTAGCATACAAACAAAAAAATTCGGCACACCAACTTTAATCTGCTTATCGCTTGGAAAATTAATTAAATTTAAACTTTCAAAAATTTTAAAAAAAATTTTTTAAAAACCGTTTCAGAAAAAATAAATATATTTATTCTTTATCCGGGGTTGGAGTACATTTTTTCCTTTTAGACGGACACCATCCTTTAAATATTCTCGTAATAGCTGTAAAATAACCATAATTCCATTAGGAAATATTTAAAAAAAATAACTTTTTTAACTTACTTGCAAGTTTCTGGGCCTTCCGCCGGCAGTTTTCGTTATCCAAGTCCCTCTTATTAGCTCCTTGGTAGGTGCAGTCCTTATCGAATCCACAGTGGGGATCATAGACAAGCGTGTTCCCAGGACACTTGCAGTCGCTTCCAAATATTGTGATAGCTTTAAGGAGAAAAGTTAATTATAGGGGAAATCTTGAATGATTCCACACTAACCAAGAATGAAAAAAATATCCGAGAGCCTCATGATGGGAGCCAAGAGGTGGATTCTTCAGAAATGAGTGTTTTGGGGCTTGGGATTTCATTCTAAATCCGGGTAATGGGATTAGTTTTGGATAAACATGTAATGGCATTAGTTCTGCCGCATTTTTCTGTCCAATTCAAACAGCCTATTATTAAAGCCCATTACTTGTGTTCCTACAGATGGCTTTGTTGCCGGCGTGCGATGCAATTCGCAGTACAACAAGACGCGCGGTAACCTGAAGCTGACCAGCGACTCGCGGGTGATCTGCCAGGGATTCACCGGCAAGCAGGGCACCTTCCACAGCCAACAGGCTCTGGAGTACGGCACCAAGCTGGTCGGCGGCATTTCCCCCAAAAAGGGCGGCACCCAGCACCTGGGCCTGCCCGTCTTCGCCTCGGTTGCCGAGGCCAAGAAGGCCACCGATCCACACGCCACCGTTATCTATGTGCCGCCACCCGGTGCTGCGGCTGCCATCATCGAAGCCCTGGACGCCGAGATCCCGCTGATCGTGTGCATCACTGAGGGTGTACCCCAGCACGACATGGTGAAGGTGAAGCACGCCCTGATCAGCCAGAGCAAGTCGCGTCTGGTGGGACCCAACTGCCCGGGAATCATCGCCCCCGAACAGGTCTGTATGTCATGTCTTTTGTGAAGTCTGCTGATGGGCAGGCCAGCAGATAAGCCTCGAACGGGGGTACAAAGTTCATCTGGTGTGTTTCACTGTTTATGCCGCTTATCGCCTCGGGTGACGCGCATACCAAAGAAGCCTTATGTATGAACTAATGCTTTCAGAACTATTGTCTCTCTCATGGACAATCTCTTCCAGAATTCTCTCTATTTTCATTAATGTTTCTCTTTACAGTGCAAGATCGGCATCATGCCGGGTCACATTCACAAGCGCGGCAAGATCGGCGTCGTCTCTCGGTCGGGAACCCTGACCTACGAGGCTGTGCACCAAACCACCGAGGTGGGTCTGGGACAGACCCTCTGCGTGGGCATTGGCGGTGATCCGTTCAACGGCACCGACTTCATCGACTGCCTGGAGGTCTTCCTCAAGGATCCCGAGACCAAGGGAATCATCCTGATCGGAGAGATTGGAGGTGTGGCCGAGGAGAAGGCCGCTGAGTACCTCACCGAATACAATTCGGTATGGAAACTCTCTCTAACAAGTGTTTTGAACTCAATTATAACGAAATACTCTTTGATTTGCAGGGCATCAAGGCCAAGCCTGTGGTCTCGTTCATTGCCGGTGTCTCGGCGCCACCCGGCCGTCGCATGGGTCACGCCGGTGCCATCATCTCTGGCGGAAAGGGCGGTGCCAACGACAAGATCGCCGCTTTGGAGAAGGCCGGCGTTATTGTGACCAGGAGTCCTGCCAAAATGGGCCACGAGCTGTTCAAGGAGATGAAGCGCCTGGAGTTAGTGTAAATAAACAATGGCCATAACCAAACCGGAATCCTTACGCAGAACAAAGCGTATACGCAACTCATGATGAACTAAACCTAAACTTAAGCTGAAAGTGTCGAAATCGAAATTGAATTCGAAGAAAACCCTAAATAAATTATTGTGAAAAGTCGCTAAAGTGGACGAGTAAGGATGTGTGAGACGTGTATTCCAAGAATTAAGTTAACTACTGCCGAACCACCCAAGTTGAACTAAAATAACTCGCACCAAACAGAATTTCAAAGTTGTTAACTGCACTCGTCGGCTTTTAAAGTTAGTTTTGCGAAATATTTTGCCTTATTTTTAAATACCTGCTCGAAATATCATGCGAAATGTATTTAATTGAAATAAATATGCAAAAACGGGAATTGTGAAATATTTGTCGCTTTCGAAGTTGAAGATTTTCTTATGAATATTTTTTTTAAACTTTTCAAAAGAAAACAAGTCGGAAATCCATTTGTTGGCCTTTTAAATTAATTTTAATTGCCTTTTATTTTATGGAAATTTTTTTATTTAAATAATATTGAATAAATATATGGCTTAAAATATTTAAATATTTTATTAAAAAATAAATTTAAAAAATAGTTTCAGATGGTATGTTATCGATATAAAGTTATCGATAGTCTGTATGCAAATCGCTAAGAATGGCGTTGCCAAACATTTATTCACGATGGCTTTTTCAACACTGAAATAAAAGTTAGTTTTTACAGCACTATTTTTATATTTATTTGTGGAGCCATATATGATTATATATATAGCAAGTGAAAAGCAGCGCCAGCTGCTGCCACAAAGCCCCAAACAAACAACCGCAACTGCAGTGCCGCCCCGCAACACCCGCGACTCGCGCCCGCCGTCCCTTAAAGCGGAAAACGCAGAGCGAAAAGCACAGGCGAAAAATCAAGAAAAAGGGAGCCGATCAATCAACACAGAAGTTAGCAAGAAACCAACAAAAACTACACCGACCGTACCAACTGCAACAACAACCACTCGCCATGGCCAGCAGAACTGAGAAATGTAAGTTTTTCTATCTAATCGGGACCAATTTCACAGGGAAAGCCAGCTACTCTGCTGATTCGCGGTTTGGGCCGCCGGCTCTTTATGTCGTGATGGGACGCATGTCATATCACAGACGGATTCGGACACGGATTCTGAAGCGCCGGCTGCTACTAGTGCACAGCTTACCGCAAATGCATGTACATATGTGTTGCGTTGGGTGCATGACCAATTGGAGCTTCCATGTGTGAGAGTACCGAGGTTGCGGAAAACTTCTGGAGCTCCCGTCTCGTAGGGCCAGACGCTCATGGCCTTGAAATGGCAGAGGAAGCATGGAAACGACTAAAAATTAACTGCATTTTGCTTCCTAATCACTCTTGGGACGATAGAAGGCAGCCCTATTCCCCAAACAGCCATGACTCTGTTAGATACATGTCTTTGTAGATGATAAGATATAAATAGCTCTATTTATGTAACTCTGATCTATAATTAAGCAGACAAGAAAGGTGTGATGGGCGTACCTATTAAGCAAAAATGTTATACCTTATAAGGAGGCATCATATATTTAATTCCAATTCAAGTAATCCCTGAAACTTGATTCAATATCTCCGGACTAACTGGATAACTAAAAAAAGGCTCTATCTCCGGACCCCAGTTCCAGTTCCCTGAAACCCTCAACTTCTGGCGATGGTGACATACCACAGCGCGTTCCCAGCAGCTTCTGTAAGTTTCCTACTCTCTGCCTTTCGCCCGATTTATAGAGAATGCTTTTGTTTGTGTTTAAAATAGATTCGGAATGGTTCTTTGGCCTGCGTCCGCCATTGTCGGCGTTTTCGAGTGGGTTTTATTGAAAATCTATTTTGCGAATCATCCGACCAGGCTGGCTGCCTCCCCCCGTCACACGTTCCCCACTATTGTCTCGCGTTTCTCCAATTCTCTTACATTGGTGGCGTCGCGACCATGTCGTCAGGTCTTCTGTCTTGTCTTGTTATTCCCCAAAAACAGACCCTACTTTAAAGGGCTAATATATAATGATACAAGTACCTTAAAGAATAGGTTGTTATATCCAACATGGACTTACCCTATCCCTCTGCTGGAAGTCTAGGCTTCCTGTAATATGACCTCTTAGTTCAACAGATTGTTGCGGCTAGAAACCATCTATCTAAGTGCCTACTGTATTTATATTCACTTTGACTGAAAACGCAACTGAAACTACTGCCCGTCGGGTCTGTTTATTGTTTTATTTGGATACTGTGCATTCGATGAGGCCGATGTTTTAGGTGGTGATGCCAATAATGATGATGATAATAGCGCACATACATCCGCGAGTAGATAGCTGATGCTATAAACGAATTGTCGTCGTTGTTTCAGCCTTAGTTCTTGGCCTATTGCTAGTGGTTGTTAGTTAGTGACTGGTGCTGCGCTCGGATTCGCTTCGCTCGTCCGATTCGATGTCATTACAGAAACAGAAATATGCTGAAACGAAAATCCTACTCGAAAAACTCGCAAAACCGAAGCATTTTTCATGCGAGAATCTCGGGAATTTGTGTAGATTAATTTATTGCCTTTCTACATGCCATTTTCTATTTAATGCTATTTTGTTTAGATTTTAAACGCATTCTGGCATCGGCAGAGTCTTTTGTTTTTACATTTTATTTAAAAAAAAAACAGTGAGGACTCTGATGGTTGGACTTTCTATTAAGGGAATAATAGAATACTAGAAGAATAGAATAATAACCCCTTTTAGCCAAGTCCTCCTTTAGTTTCTTGCCGCATTTCGTGAATAATCGCCCGTGATAAGACCAGACATATCGCAAAAACGCATCGCTTACGCCAGTTTCGTTTTGATGTTGCCTCCATCCCTCCTCCTAGAGGACCCGCCGTGCCGATTCTGCAGACAAAGTTGCGAGCCCGCCTGGCGAATTCTATTCCCGCAGAAGCAGGAAGCCAGAAGCAGAGGAGGTGGCTGGGATGCCGGGAAATAACCGCTTCTAGGCCCGGGCAGATGCTTTTTGCATATTTCATAATTCCCGCAGGTGGCCATGGCTACGTGGGGGCCATGAGAGCTAGTGGGGGCCAACAATCAAATGGCCCCAAATGTCGGCTCCCAGGAGCCCCTTTGTGTATGCAACAAGAATTTTTCATATGCCAAATGAATGATTGAAAGACGGAATAGATGGAACACGATGGGTCTGCTGTCTCAGCACCTTGGGCCTCCCATTCCCTCGTCGGATGTGTTTAAGGTTCTCCTGCCGACTGTTGTGCTTAGATAGGCTGTTTCTGGTCCTCCTGTCACAGGACTCCGCAAAGTTGCTTCCCTCGGCTTTAAAAACTTTTCAGCATCTGTCAGCTGAAAAAAAATTCGAAAAAGCGTGGATGGTTGGGGAATTTTCCACCAAAACTAGAACTAGAATATAATAGTCCTTTAGACCAGGTCCTCTTTAAAAGGATGCGACAAGGAGACCCTCACAAATCCGAACACTAATCAGGTGCGAGAAGGGGCGGGCGCCCAAATGAAGACTTCTCTGGGGTGTCTGCCCATCCGGCGCTGCTTTTGTCTGGGTCAAGCTGGCAAGTGAAAGGTGTTGATGTCCTTGCTGGTCGGGCGCCCCCTTCTTGGGCGGGCGGCTGTTGTTAACACCTTTCATGGTCGTCAAGACACGAGACATGCCACGGCACAGTCATTGTCACAGGCAAATTAATTAAAGGACCCCCCCTGGGCGATGTCGTAAAGCATTTAGCATTTTAATTGCGCCATAAAACGAAGCGGGGGACGACACCCGACAGCAGCTAGGAGCAGGTGGCAGCCTGGTGCGAAGGTGTTAAAGAGGTGTCCCAGGGAGGGGAGTTCGGAGCAAGAGGTGGCTCTGCTTTGGCGTTTGCAGGCTAATTAGATTAGATTTGCTTGCTTAATATCCCCCAGCAGGATCATCACAAAAGACTTTAATGGACATCTCTCTCCTGCCCTCTTGATGTCCTCCATCCTCCATCCGCCAGGCTCTGCTCTGAGTTTCATTTTAATTAGTAAGTTTTAAATGAAATCAAGGCTTTGATTTAGAGAAAGTGGTGGTGCATCCTCTAGTTGGGTATCAGTACTAGCTTATAGAAGGGGGTTTAACCCTCCCCTTCTAGTTACCATTTCCGACCCATTCCCGGAAGAGTGCATCTGCAAGGCTCTTTCCTTTCGGCCAACTTAACTGGGCCATCTCAGACCACACCCACTGGACACACTCCCCACCCCCTACTCTGAGATACTGCAGTTGCCTGCGGAACTGACTGACGGATGCTCGAGTCCTCGCATCCTCGCTTGGTACTTGGCCTCGAAATGCGTTGCGCTTTTAAGCTCACACGTGCGGCGAGCTTAAGCTCCCTCTCTCGATCCCCTCCCCACCTCTCTCTCCGCTCTGCCTCTCTCTCCGCTGTAGGGCTTTCTCTAGAGAGCCATCTCTCCGAGTTGACCCAAATAAGATGTCGTAATTGCAGGCGCAAGGCGCGACATTCACGAATATGCAATTACATTAGCCGAGAGGAGCGACAGAGTGAGAGGAGCAGATGCTGAAGACTGTTGCGCCTCTCGCTCGCGCTCCTCTCCGTTCCACTGCCGCCGTTCCTCTCGCTCTAGGCCAGTTTTGCATAAATTATTTATTACGACGCATTTGGGGGGGGGACGCATTTGACATCCCCCGGATGGCGAAAAGAGTCCCTGGGGGGACAACTAGAGAGGAGAGACACAATTTTGGGGGGCAGGAAAGGGTGTTTGCTAATCGATGCAAATTATTTTGCAATTTTCTAAAAAGAGAGAGAGCGGGAGTATCTGCAGGATTGTAAGCGCAGCTCTGATTGAATTCAAGGTCTCGCTTGAACAGAAAGCAGAGCTTATTGCGTTCTTTGAACGCCAATTATGTTGAATACTTTAGGGTGGAATTTCCATGCTGCTCTGTGTGAGTGTGTGTTTTTGTGGGAGAATGTTTGCTTGAAGTGGAATCTAGGACATGCTTCTATCTATCTGGGATGCATTCTAAATAGATAACTAGGTGGTTTTAATTCAATTTTATAAAGAGTATCTGTCTATGGATTAATAAACCAAACTCCTCTTTAAAGCCAACTAAAGTGAGGATTATTCCGGTCTCAACATTATTGGCAGTCTTCCCTCTCTAGGTCCCTAGGTTCTTACTTTTCTCCCCTCGAGCAGAGAAATTCTAAAAGCTTTTTTATTGCCCACTCGAATGATGAATGCATTCAAGGGGGGGGGGGGAAAGGAGGGGGGAAATAAAATAACCGGCATATCCCGTCAGGAATCAAATGCAGTTTCAGACTTCAAATTGGCAGATATGCAATTGGCACCAAAAAGAGGAGAAAGATGGGCACTTTTTTGGTCAATTTGTCAGTGATTTGGAAGGGTAATTGAATTGGAAAAGTTCGAAGCCTTCGGGGGGTATAACCAAAGATGAATAGAGGAAGTTTAAAATAAAAAATAGGGTCTTAAATCCATAATTTTAAAAGAACTACTTGTTCTCTATATTTATAATAATAATATTTCTTTGGTTCTGACACTTCTATGGCATCCCCTAGCCCAAACGACTCTTCTCTGTACATTTTCCAACTATTTTCATTCGTTTTACTGTTAGATTCTTCTTCTTTTTAAAACAATTTGATTAAAAACATTTTAATCCCAGGTTTGGATTGCTTTGATAAAACCCTTTTGGTATTTACATTCAATTAAAATTGAATTTGATTCCCAGGTAAAGCATGAAAGTCAGTATCGACTTTTATGGAGGTTTTTTTTTTTTTGTTTTTTTGTGTTTTTTGTGTTTTTTGTGCCATAAACATTCCTGTTTGGCTCGCTCTCTCGCTGTCCTTGTCTGTGGATGATGGCTAGTCCTTTCCCTTTCGCATGCACTAAGGCTCACATGTCCAAGGTCCTTGCTGTGGCCTGCTGGAAGCCAAAGAACCAGGATATAGAAGCATGAAAAGGGCTGAGGAAAGCAGAAAGGACAAGGATGATGCCCAGTAACAGGAACAAATGCAACGCAACATACGCGTACGCACCAGGAAGGACAATGGCAACAACAACAAAGGGGCCTGGGGCAGCAGCAACAAGAAGGAGTTACCAAGGCACTGAAAGAAATTAGGGCTAGAATACAAAAATTGTGTAGGAAAGCGTACCTCATGTAATATTACGTATACGACATGTAGTACGGTGTAGTATTTTATTCGTGAGAATAACTGTTTCTTTACCGAAAATATTTAATTAATAATTCTAATGGAATATTCCTTCGAGTGTATAAAGAAGAGGAGGGGAGGGGAACATCGCAAATGCCACCCCAATAGGCATTTCAGCTCTGGGCCATGGGACATTGGGCGAACTCTGTGGAAGGGAAGAAAGGGAAAGAGTACCGTAAGCAGGCGGTGGAAAGGAGAAAAAGAGAGCGGGGAGAGAGTGCGGCAGCAGGGGAAGTGACACTACGCTTTAACCTGTTTTCCGCGAAGCTTTTACGCACTCGCTCTCTCGCTTCGAGAGAGAGAGAGCCAGCCACCCTTCGCAGGAGATGACTGACTGAGAGAGAGAGAGAGCCGTGTTGTGTGCTTGTGGGGACTTTTCGCCAGCGAATTGGCCCAGTATCCATTCGGCCGTGTTCCCATAATGTCCGCCAGCGGTCGTCGCTTCTGTCGCAGCCGTTGCCAAAGTTGTCATTGTCATCCGTACCAGCAGAAGCAGCAGCAGCAGCAGCATCACCAGAAGCAGAAGCAGCAGCAGCAACATCAACACCAGCAATAGAAGAAGCGGAGCACCAGCTTAAAAATACATTTTCACAAAATGAAGCAACCGAGCGGAGGCAAGGAAAAACTGCTCGATAAAATTAATTTTTTTCCCCAAAAAAAAAAAAAAATTGAAAAAAAAATCATACAAAAATAACAAAAAAGAGCGAAAAAAGCCAGCGAGAGAGAGAGAGAGAGAGGGAGAAAGCGAGAGAGCAAGGGTCGATGTGGTTCCTAGAGGGGGAGACTTGTGGAAATTGTAGTGAAAAACAAAGAAAATTAAAAGAAAATCTAAAGCTAAAACTGAAACTGAAACTAAAAACAAAAATCGAGTTGAAAATGGCACGCGCGTAGCAATAAATAAAACACGAAAATTGGAAATGAAATCCAACGGATCCGCGAGAGTGCGAGTATCCGCGAGATACCGAGAAGTAAACGGATATATGTAAAGCCCACAATTTATAAAAAGGAAGCCCCAACGCCGGGCAGTGTTTAAAAATATATATGTATATTTAACAAAAAAAAAAAAATAAATAAATAAAGCACAAGTGTTGCCTCGAAGTGTGTGTGCAAAAATGTGGGCAAAGAATTTTCTTTTGCTTTCAAAAGACACTTTTTTTTTTTTGTTGGCCTTTCTGGTGTATTATACATACACACAGCACCGCACACGTTTTTCCCCCACACACACACACTCACACTTACACACGAGCGTACTAGTTGGGGGCTCTCGTATTTGTTCGTTTTTCTTTTCGGGATTTTGAGAATTCGGTGACGTTTCGACGTAGAAATTAATAGAGTTTACCTGGCCAAGAGGCAGAGGCTGGTTGGGAATACATATCTCATATATCGAGGATGTCAACAAATTATAGTACTTTTGGTTTCTCAAGAACTGCACGGTCCACTTAAGATTCCCATTATTTTGGGGGTTTTTTCTGCCTCATTTTTGGTTTTCCATTTCCCTTTTCCCTTCCGCTATGAATGCATCGCACTGGACTTCCTGCTAGAGCTTCTAAAGTGCAGTTCTCTCTCTACGACTACACTGGGGGAAAATAGTAAGCATTTTGTTTAAAAACGACACTCAGATAAGGGTAATACAGATTTCCAAATAAATAAATACTTTTAAAAAAAACTCTAATTAAATATTAAAAACAATATCTACTATCAGGTCTTATATTTCTCTTAGTGTACTATCAGCAGGCTTCTCTCAGTCTCTCCCACGCAGGCGCTCTCTAGTGCTCTCTCCTCAGACAACCGCAACACATTTCCTAGTACTCGCACTACGCTGGGAAGCTTTTTTGTTTGTCGCTTCGAGCGGGTGGGCTGCGGGCGGGTGGGGGAGGGCTGGTGGAAAAAGGAGAAAAATAGACCTAGGCGGGGGAGAGCAGCGTGCGAGAGCGAGCGAGCGAGCAGCTGTAAACAGCAGGAAGGCCAAATCCGAGTCCAAAGGAACATGCAACCGATGATTCTACTCCCTTAGTGATTCTCCTCAGCGATTCTGTCGCGTCTCCTCTTCCGAAGTGCAATTGGCTGTCCCAAATACTGAACTCTGCTTTTCCTCGTTTTCTTTTCCATTTTCCCCCATTTCCACCAAAAGACGACAACGTGGGGCACCGTCGTCACCTTCGGCTTGGTCGTGTGCCACACGTCGTATGCGTGTTTTCTTGTTTCTTTTTGAGGCGGCTACGTCATCTGTCATCTGCCTCCTCCACCTCCTCCTCCATTCTCCAAATCTTGCTTCTCTGCTACCGTTTTTTCGCGGGTATTTCCCAGAATAAAAGATTTAATGCGACTGACTGACATTTTCTTTTGGTCAGGTGTTCTGGTCTTCGGGGGTTGGATGGCAGGTGGGCACTTGAAAGCTTCATTCATCAATCCTTTCACTGCCGATGTTTGTATTTGTATTTGTTTTTTAACGGTTTATCTAGTGGTTGTTTTTTTAGGGAGAATAGAGAACAGAAAAGGGCGAAGGTAGTTATGACATTTCCCATAAGTGATTCCAAGGTTAGGAGAAGATTATTAATTATACTTTTCAAGGCAAATCTTTCTTTTTTGAGTATCCTTTTTCCCAGGACTCCTATCATACACTGCCTCGATCTACAAAGTCCATTCAACTCGGACAGATATCTATCAAAATTGTGAAACAACCCTTTCCATTTTCCATAAAAATGGCAAAAAAATGAACAAAATTAGCTACCTACTCGCCGTAAACTGTGGCAATCAAAGACGCCACATAATTACGCCGAGACTGGTTGTATCCTTGCGCCCTGCGAGGATGCGAACCCACCCCTTTCTCCCCATAGCGCCGAGGGCAATATTCGCATCACGAATTCTCAGTTTCTCGGCCCGTGCAGTTTTGAATATCAAAATAAATCGTAAACAAGGTCATATTGTTTATTGGTGTTTGTGCGTGCCGTCGTCGCCGTCCGTCGTCTTCCTCCCTACAACAACACACAGATACACAGTTTTATGGCTCTCAGGGCTCCTCTCTTTCTCGCGTGCGCGCTGGCTCTCGAATCGGGGGGGAAAAGCCCTCGAAAGAGCCCAATTATCAACCGAACTTGTCCAACTTTCAGCCAGAAAAATGTGTGCCACAAGAACCAACAGGAAGTTGAAGAAATCCTCACAGAACCTGAACCACATAGACAGCAAATACTGAAGAACGGAAGAAAGTCCTGAAGAATTCATGAAAATATAAACAAATAAAGAGAAAGACACGCTAAAGGAAGGAATAATAAACGAGAGAATAATCACAAACCAGAAAGAGAAAGCTTTAACTAAAATATTTTTAACTATACAATATACATACATATATATATATACTTATATATATATATATTATATATTAATTAAATTTAGAATAGCGACTTAAGTGTTTAGTGCTTAAACAATTAAATTTTAAACAAAGTAACTGGGAAAATCGAGCAAGTGTAGAGACCGCAGTGAGGGCAGCTCCTGATTTTCGGTGATATGGTGTAAATGTGATAAAAAAAAACGTTTAAAAATAAAAAATAAAAAACCAACGTTTTAAATTCAATAACAAACCCAAAAAACTCTAACAGAAGCTGGAAGATACACAGAAGATTGTGTTTTAATTCTTTCCTCTTCGCAAATCCAATACAATAACTATCTACAAACGTACTAAGCCTTGCATCTTTGAAATACAAAACCAATCTAACAACTATAAGTAACTCTAAGTCGCACAAAACCAAAGTAAATTGAGTGAAAACTACCGCGTCAGATTCTTTTTGGGTTCAAGACTTTTTTTTATAAAGAATATTTTATCAACTGCACTGCCGCAACTTTTCGACAAGTATGCTTTTTTCTAAAAAGAAAGAAAGTGTAACAGACTACTCGTAAAGACATATATTATATTATATATATATATATATATATATATCGGAGAAGCTATGCTAAAATTCTTATGAACCGCGCAGACATCACAAAACAATAAAAAGACAAAACCAAGCAACTATCCCTTTGGAACCGAGTAACCAAAATGCAATAGTCTAACTCGCTCACTGAGGTAATCCTTCGTTATAGATTAGTTATAGTTATGGTAGTACTAGTCCTCCAGTTATCCTCATCAACTCTTTGCTTGTCTACTTCCAGTACACTTGACATAAACTGTGATTATGAGTTCCACAAAATCTCAAGTAGCCCTAGCTACAAATATTCCAACCAACTTATCCTCTGCCGCCTCTGCCTCAACCGCGGCCGCTGCGGCCGCCGTTGTTGTTGTTGCCAGTGCCAGTGCCAACGCCGCCGTTGCCTCAACCACATCCGGGTCAGGATCGCCATCGGGCCGAGCAGGATCGCCTCCAGCTACAGCAGCAGCAGCAGCCACATCCTCCAATTCGGTGGCAAGCAACAACTGCAACTCCGGGGAAGAGTGCCAGACGGGGGCCGGCGGAGCAGCCAACTTGGGACGTCAGAACAGTTTTGGCAACAGACGAGTAAGTTCCAGAAAATCTATTTTCTGGCCACCAACAGGGCGGATGAGTGATTTTTGTATCCATCCCTAAAGTTCAGAAGAGATTATCCTTTAATCCTATAAACCTATGTATATAAGACTAGATAGATAATCCCGGGAAAGAGTTTATATGTAGAAACCATCCTATATAGGTCAGGTCAAGTCAGGTGTCGGACTGCATTCGCAGCTGGGAGCTCGTCTCTCGGTTCTCGTGGCTCTTTCCACGGTGCTCTCAGGATGCACACACATAAGTGCAGCCATGAACTGAGCTCCCGAGCAAAGGATACACGCCCAAAAAACGTCCAGCAAACTGGGTCAGGTCACTGGCAGGCCCCGGGGCTGCCGAGAGAGGACCGAGGGAGGGAGGGAGGTCGACGACGATAACGGGTGTAGGGATTACGTTTCTGCGAATCGCATTTGCTGGAAATTCCCCAATCGACCCCGAGCTGGAATTGGTAAACGTGTTTCTGATTGCAGCTGTCTCCGATGGTAGTTGTTGGCCACCATGTGTATCACTGGGCCACAATCCCAGACAGAGCTCTAAACGCTCTTGCCAGCCGAGTTCAAGGTTTGTGTGTGGGTGGGTGGTGGTTGCCCGGTTGCCTTGGTTAACTGCTCATGCAGGATTTATCGTCAATCATTGTTTATGTGCTGGGCGATAGAGTTCGTGGCCCACCCCAACAGCCCCACCTCTTCCGACTCGTGCATGTACTCTTTTTCCGGAGCAGTTTCTGGCAGCTGCTGGCCTGGCCGTGCTAATGCTGCGAGGCTCCAAGGTCGATTTATTGATTTTTCCCACTCGCTGTACCAGATTCCGGGAAATTAGTTTTCCATTGAATTCGAAAGCGAGTTGCTGGACGCCCAAAGGTAGGCAACAAAGTTTTTCATTCTAAAAGAAGAGTCCTTCCAAGTGGAAAGAGTAATTTTTGAAAATTTCTTCAAACTTGAGACTTGAAAGGAAAGTAGACATCTATTGGTCCTGTGGCTTCAGGATAAACACTCCAATCACTACAAGTGTCGGTCAATATTCAATAAGACTGTAGCTCCTAACTCTTCAAATCCTCAAGTGCCCATCCAGTTCTGGCCACGTCAAGTCAACAGCTGATTAATGATGTCACTGAGTAGTTTCGGATTGGAACAAAATCAATGGAGGCAAACAAATAAAGGCACGAAATTAATGTGCCTGGCTGGGCCGATGACTAAACTGGTGGAGAAGTGATAGACTGAATGCCTGACTGCGTTTATTCTCCAGGTGGTGGTCCTGTCCTTCAGCGCCGCGAAAAATGTCAAAAGGCAATTGCCAGGACTGTGGTTTGGGCCCATCGGACGGAGGAGTCTACTCCCATTTAACCTTTTGGTTTTCCCAGTGCTTGGGAGGGTGGGCGGCGTTTGTTTTTCACATTTCAATGAGCCAACAATTGCATCATAGATTGGCTCTCCCCCCCAACACGAGGTCCTATTCGGGGAATTGTTATTCTGTTAGTGGAGTATTATTCAGGTTGATAATCAAGTGGAGCATGATATTACTCACCCCTCAGGAGTCAACTTTGGCATTTATTTGCCACTAATTGTAAAGTAATTACTTCACTCCCTAACCCTCTGGCTTTTCCTTATTTCCTTCAGGGCAACATGAAGGGCAAACATCTCACACGCAGCCATGCCATGCGTGAGTCCACATCGCCGCCTCGCACGCCAACACCGCGGGCTGCCGGCGACCAGCCAGGAGAGCTCCACGAGCACAACAACAACAATGCCATAACCAATAACAACAACAACAACAACAATAATAATACGAATAGCAACAACACTAACAACAATGGGAATAACAACAGCAAAGCACAATCAACCGGAAGGGGCAACTCGCCGTTGATGGAGGCACCTGCCGTGATTGTCACTAGTCAGCAACAGCAACAACAACAACAACAGCAGCAGCCGATGCAGCAATCTCCTCCAAAGCCACCACAGAACGTTCCCCTCAGCAACGAGGCAGAGTTTCCGAAGCTGTCGCCGCCCAAGAAGTCCGGCGGGCAGCACAACCGCACCAACAGCAACGGCAGCGGCATGGAGTACAACAACAACAACGCCAACAAGAAGTTCGTGGTCGACCTGAAGTCCAACGGCCTGGACACCAGCAGTAAGCACCACAACAACAACAGCGGCAACGGCAACAACTCTTCCACGGGCGTGATATACAACTCCGGAATGAACTACAAGGCGGCCGATCGGCACGAGCGACACGACCGCCACGAGATGTCCAGCCAGAACAGCAATCTGAGCAACAACCATGACGACGAGCCGTACCACTACGAGCCGCAGAGGGCCGGCGGAGGAGGCGGTGGGGGCGGCAAGAAGCACCGCGCCAACACCAACTCGAAGGGCAACAAGCCGCGCTTGAAGAACATCGGCGGCAGCTCCTCGGGCAGCATCGACGGCAGCGGCAACAACGGCGGGGGCAACAACATGACGTCCAACAACGCCAACTCGAACAACTCGAGCAACAACACCTCGGGCTTCATATCGAGGGGTAAGTATCGCGCTCCGTTTGCGTAGCCAAATGCCACGGCTCATGCCACTCACTGATTCTAGTCTTTCACCAATCAGAGAACTCGAGCGAGCAGTACACGGACTATGGCGGCACCGATCTCCTGATGTTCTTCCGCGACACCCTCAACAAGAACCCCAAGGACCGTAACATTCTGCTGAAGATTGAAAAGGATCTAATGGAGTTTGTCCAGGAGAACAGGTGAGTTACTCTCTCTATATACCATCGTTAGGTGTCCTAAATTATTCTTTCAATTGATAGCCGTGGCTGTGAGTACCGTTTTCCGCCAGCTTCCTCGTACAACCGGATGCTGATCCATCGCACCGCCGCCTTTTTCGGCATGGAGCACAATGTGGACACCGAGACGCAGCAGTGTGTGATCGTGGCCGTCACCAAGGGCACTCGCATACCAGAGGTACAGGAACTATTCAGTGGAAACTAGAACACCTTAGTAATCTATTATCTTCCGTCAGATCCGCTTCCAGTCGCTGGTGCGCGACGATGCTCGAAAGTCAATTCTCAAGAGGGACACCCACAGCTTCGACGAGGTGCGTCCTCTGGCATACCTGTGCCCCCTTTCCCTCGATCGCAAGGCCAAGAGCTTCGAGGAGCGGGAGGAGGACTACGACCGTGCGCGCAGCCGCATCTTCAGTCGCACTGGCACCCAGGACGGCTACTCCGGCGGCGGAGGCGACGAGGACTGCTATGGCGGCTGGGATCAGCAGCAGCAGCAACAGCAGAAGCAGTCCCAGCCCCCGAGGCCCAAACGTCCCAATGGGAAGATGCTGCAGATGCAGAATGTAAGGGTGTGGTCTCCAGGAAGTGTCTTGTTCATAAACTTATTCAAAATTTTGTCCTTTCAGTCCACGGAATCTCGCGATGGCATGCGATCGGGCGGGGCTGTGCCCAAGTCCCACAACTTTGGCAACTATGGAGGGCCACCAGGCTCTGGAGGTCCTGGCAACAATAACCTGCCGCGCGGCGACTCCACCAACTCGAACAAGAGTGGACGCGGCGGCTTCACCAAGCAGGACTCTACTGGCAGCACCAACACTCCCTGGCGCCTGTCGCCTTCCAGCAGTGGGTGAGTACTTGGTGGAACAGGTGTCCTTTTTGTTTGAAATTGAAGCGGTTTCACCAAGTCTTTAGTCCTTAATTCTATTCTAAATTAGTCCTAACGATTAAAAATTAATTCTACTTGTAATGGTGACTTGTTGGAACCGCTCTCAATAGGTAATCTTTATGTTGAAACCATGTCCATGTACCCAAACTCAACAATCGCTCTCAATCCATTTTTTTGAAATTAAACCTAAATTTTTAAATTGAAAACCTTAAAATATATAAATACCCAAACAAAATACCGAAACATATTTTGTATGCAACTCCCCCCCGACAACAACAACAACAACAACCATAACAACAAACGATACAACAACAATAAACCAACCAACTCCGAATCCCCATCGTCCAGCTACAAGACGCGGACGCAGTCCGTGCGCTCCGATTCCGTCACTCCCTCACCCACCGGCTACGGCAGCGACAGGCAGACGCCGGAGCTGAATCATCCGAATTCCAGCCGGCTGGGTGGTGCAGGTCCAGGCGCAGGGTCAGGTGCCGCAACAGCCACAGCAGCCACATCACCAATGAGCGTCGGTGGCGGAGCAGCTACTGGATCCGGGCAGCCGGCTGCTGGATCGGCCTCGGGAGCATCGGGACTAGTGTGGGCCGTCACCGACATCGCGAACGTGCCAGTTGGCAGCCTCCTCATTGATCCGCAAACCCTCCAACCAATTGTCAATGCAGACGGGTAATTTACAAAAACTAAACCAAAGAAATTAAACCACACAAACAACTAAAAAATATATAGAAATTATACAGAAAGTCGTTGCGAAACTTGTGCATTTTATCCAACCAATATTTCTGCATTTCTGCTGTATTAGTTTCTTTTATTTTGTCTCGAACCACACTGATTCTTAACTCAAATGATATATGCGACGGGGTCGCCTAAGACCTCTACTTTTAACAATATCCTAGCTGAATAAACCGAGAGATTGGCTCTTTAATCGATTAACTTTCGAACTTAGTAATCTTAACCAACAAATCTTAAATATTTACTTATAGTTTTTAAAGTAAAAATCACTAGCTTTGTTCGTTCTGCTAATAATCAAATATCCAACGTGTTTTTAAGACAATTATATGCTTGAGCTTAAGAAAACATTAGCAATATCTTCAAGAAGTATCCCCATATTCTTTAGACATCTTATGAATATTATTTTCCATAACTATTAATACTTATTATATACATATATGTGAAATATGCAAGATTCTTAGCTTTTCATTTATTGTGACAAATTGTTGATGTTGTTTTTGTAAATTATCTGCCTAAACTCGAACTAAATTAACCGACACGAGTGCCAAACACCACGCTATCCAATATATAACTACTATTCGCCTATCACCTCTCTGTTTCTCTCGATCTGTGTGTCCATTTCGCTCACGATCATCGTCCGACACCCACCACCCACCCAACACCACTTTAACCAAAATGCCCGAAATCCACTTCCATTGTCAAGATCACCAAAGTATAGCTTCAGTTCAGCGACGTTCGAGTGAATGAGTTTTGCGTTGAATGTGTGTCGTCTGCCAGTGTTGTCGTCTTATCCTAATTGTTGTTCGTTCAAATTACATTTCGCCTTGTTACAAAAATAAAAACCAATCAGTTAAGCCATTCGTTGTTGTTGTTTTTCGATTTTCTATATACAATATATCCTACTAAGTGTCTGTCGCTGTCGCTGCCGCTGCCGTCGCGTCGCTAAAATATACTGCAAATAAAAAAAGCAAAACTTTGGCAACTCTATCTGCAGGCGACTGTACTTTCTTACTTACTTATCTATTATTTATATAGCTGCTTTCAAAATATATATTTTTTAATGAAAAGTTTATAAATTAAATTTTTAAATAATTATATTACTAAAATATTATACATTTTTTGACATTTTATTGGAATCTGATAAGTATTTAAAGAACCAAGATAAAATAATTGTAAATAAGTCTCGTCATTGCCTTCTACTCCGTTAACATCAGTGTTGTGAAGCGTAAAATGCTTCAAGTACAATTACCGGTTTCAACACTGTTTTTGTTTCATTCACAATCTGTCATTTTGTTAACGGTCTTCGTTCTTCGACGAGACTTTTCTATAGTTAAGGGTCTATTGAAAATAAAATTATATCAATAATTAAAGTTTAATGTAAATAATAAAATATATAAATTTCAAAAAAAGCAGCTATATAAACAACTTTGTAATTAATTTCCTCTTTTCTAAAAGTGCATGCTGCCGAGCGATAAAAAATACCAAACGACACACTCAACCCTAGAATATATTCCCCATTTTAACTGAAAAATAAAACTAATTTTTGTACAATTTCTCTATTCAAGTTCTATTTATCACTACGACCCGTCCAACCTGCCGCCCAATCAGGCGCTCCAGCATACGGGAAACCAATACCAGTCCCAGAACCAGGGCAACTCATCCGGTGGCTACAACAACTACCGCAAGTCCTCGCCCCACCAGCAGCACTTGCAGCAGCCACCCCAGCAGCAGCAACACCACCAGCAGCAGCAGCAACCGCTGCCACAGCAGCAATATGCCAACACCGAGTTGTCCTGCAGCTCCACGGAGAGCTACGCCGAGGAGACCCATTCGCCCGGCATGGAGTGCTCCGAGGGATACGAGAGCTACGAGCCGCTGTCGTTGCCGCAGCAGCAGCAGCAGGAGGATCCGGGGATGAAGGGTGATGATTGTGATAGCCTGGCCAGTGCCACAGCTTGCCTGAGCATTACCACCGCCACGTCCACAAAGAACTATGACCGCATCGAGGTGCAAAAGTACAAGAACCAGGCCACCAGTCCCAACATACCCGCCTGTTGTGCAGCGACGGGCGAGAAGCTGGAGGCGGAGTCACCCGTCGGGGTACAGGAGCAGGAACCGGAGCCGATTGCAGGTCCCTCGTCCTCTGTCTCGGCGGCATCCTCTGCCGGAAGTGCCGAACTGCCAACCAGCCAGACGCCCTTGACCCCAGTAGCCACTCAGGTGAACTGTGACCTGCAGTCCGTTTCGCCGAGCTCCACGCCGTACAGCCAGTGCGAGGCGAAGACCCCCAACCAGAGTCACGGTCCCAGTGCGGTCGTCGAGGAGCCGAAGACCACCACCTGGACGTACACGCAGAGCTACCAGGCGCCGGATGGTTCCACGGTCTTTCACACCACCACGACGCCCAACGGGGCTGCGCCCTACTGCGCCACAACATATCAGCAAGGGGTAAGATGATCTCTTCGAAATATACAGATTCTGTTGCTAATCCTTCTGTCTTAAAGCCCGATGGCAGCATCTATGCGGTGCCCCAGGGCATGGTCTATGCCGCCTATCCCCAACCTGGCGTTGGTGGGGCCGGGGCCGCCTCGCAGCCGCTCTTCCAGCTGACAGCCAGCAGCCATCCGCCCGCCCAGACACTGTTCGCTTCGCCCGAAGCGGGTGGTGAGCTGCCCGGCGGCACCTACATGATACCTGTCTTCGATCCGGCCCAGCAGCCGCGTGAGGGCTTGATCCAAGCACAAGCCATCTACCAGGCCGGACCGGGTGGACCCGCGGCCACCACAGTGATGCCGATGGCGGCCACAGCCGCCTACCCGACAGCCCAGTTTGCCACGGCAACAGCCCCGAACGGAGCGCCCATTTACCAGGCGCCGCTAATCTACTCCAGTGAGCCGAACGGCGGGGCACAGCTGCAGCAGCTGCCCATGGCCACTTACCCGATTCAATACTCCTATCCGTACTACCCCATCCCGTACTACGTGCCCCCGCAGGCTGTGGCCACGGCGCCCATGGTGGCAGCCTCTCAGCCGCCAGTGGGACAGGCGCCACTCCCCCCACAAGCTCAAGCCACACAGCCGGGAGGAGCAGCCCCAGGACCACCCACAGTGGTATCCGGTAAGCCCTATCACTCTCCAGTTCCCAGTAATCTTCATTAAACTGATTATTTCTCTAAAGTTTCCGGTCCACCACATCACCAGTCGCATCAGCCACACCACCAACCCCCTCAACAGTCCTCGAGCAACGGGGGATCGGTGGTGGCCTCCAACAGCTATGGCGGACGCGTAAAACGTACGCCTGGGGGCGGTTCCATCCACTACAATGCTAGCTACCCGCCCAGCTCGGTGGCCCATGCCAGTGGTGGGCATCATCCGGCGGCGGGATCCGCCCAGCTGATCGCTGCCCCCGCTGCCAGCACAACCACATATCATGCGCTGCCCACATTGACGCTCGCCCATGGTGGTGCACCGGCTGGCTCGGATCTCGGTGGCGCAACAGCGGCGCACGTGTATGCGCTGCCCGCTCAGCATGCCACCGCGCTGATCCCAACGAACATCTTCCCATACGCGGCTGCAGCAGCGGCGGCAGCAGCCGGTCCAGCGGGTCCACAGCCCGCCCCCCAGGTGGTGCAGCAGGCGCCTCCCCCGCCGCCATCGGCTCCACATCATCTGATCACTGCAGCCCCGTTCTACCCGGCCAGTGCTGGAGGGATGGAATCGCAGTCGGCACCCAGTACGCCAGCGGCTCCGGGACGTCAAGCTCCTTTGTTCAGCACACCACCGGCTCCGAATAACGGGAGCAGCGGCAGCAGCAGTGCCGGAGGAAACGGCAATGGCGGTGGGTACCACAGCAATAGCTCCACTCCACACTACTACCAGAGCCAGAGCAGCAATGAGGGCGGCTACTCCTCGTACGAGAAGCGGAACAATGGCGGTGCGCAGTCCATGGGTGTGCGAAAGCCCTACCATCCGGGCGGCTACAACCCCAGGCACTCGGTGCCAATGGGAGGAATGCCCTCCGGTGCCAAGACACCGCTGCTCAACTCCAACAACGAGCCCACACCGCGAGCCTCGCCCAGTGGTGTTAGCATGGGCGGAGGACCCCCTTCATCCGGGGGCGGTGGTGGAGCAGGAGGCAGCAACAGCTACCACCACCGGGGACCACCCCCGCACGCAATGGGCGGAGCCAAGCAGCGGGAGAACAAGCCGAACCAGCTTCCACTGATCAGTGGACCACCGCCCAGCTATGCGACGGGCAATCCGGCCACCGGGGGCGCAGTGAGCACCACGCCCAGCTACGAGTCCAAGCCGCCAGTGCGCTTGAACGCCGCAGCGGCCAGCTTCCGCAGCCAGAAGTCCATGAACCAGGACTTTAGGCGCAGCGTCTCCCAACGCAACTCACCGAGTGCTAACGGCGGCAACGGGAACGGAAACGGCAGCCACGAGAGCAGCAACAACTCGCCCAACAGTATTGCTGGCAGCAACAACAACAGCGCCGCCAACACTCCCAATGCTGCACCGCCTCCGCCGCCACCCGCCACTCTGGTCAGCCATCCCGGCGGCTATGTGGTCCTGGATCAGTCCATGAACGCCTCGCCGCCGTCGATCTACCTGGGTAGCAGTGGTGGTGCTGGAGTAGCTGGCGTCTCTGGAGCGGGTGGCGCTGCGGGACAGGCTGCTGCTGGCTCGAACGGAGGCGGCGGTAACCAGCACTCCGGAGGCGCCCGCACGCACATTCCCACAGCCCAGCTGCATCACAGTGCTGCCTCCGCGGCGGCGGCAGCAGCAGCCGCTGGCAACCAGCAGGCCACCACGGCGGCGGTTCTGAGCGGCGTGGCCGCGGCCGCCCTAGGTGGCTACAATCCGAACGGCGCGTCCGGCGTGTACTTCAAGTATGGCCAGACGTACTTTGCGCACGTAAGTAGGCTATGATTTTTGTAAGAAACTCCAAATGACCGATTCCTTCCCTTTAAAGCCCTCGGTGGCCTTGCCCAACAGTCGACGATCGCCCTCAAACGATATCCGGCCGCAAATGGCGCAGGTGGCCGGCATGTATCCCACAATGATGATACAAGGTGAGTCCTAGTCTCTGTGCAAATTCCAACAAATGCTAACTCTTCCACATCTTGCAGCTCGTCATCCCAGCCGCCATCCGAACCCGAACTACAAGGGTTCGCGTCCGCGGTAAAGCCAGCCGGAGCACTCCGGACATATAGAAACCAAGCAAACAAAAAAACTACATACACATAACGGCATACCTAAGATAAATATAAATAGCAACCTAATCTAGTGGACATAAAGTAGTTGACAAACAAAAAAAAACAAAAAGAATAATAAACCAGAAATAACGAGGACGCAATGGAGGAGAAGGAGGAGCATAAGCCTCGTCGAGTGCTGGCCGCAGAGTTGTCGGGCAATATTGGTAGAGGAAGCTGAAGAGGAGACAGCAGAGAGGGCGTGGCAGGGAACCAACCGAACCAAATCAACCCACACCTGACCAGACGAGAGACCCGGGAGCCAGGAGCGGGAAGCCATCATGTTACATCTTCCGCAGCCAACAAAGGGAAGCAAGTCGCGAAAGTAGAGTCAAGGGGGGACCGACAGAGCATAGCATATAGCCTTTAAATATAGTTAAGGAGTATCTATTGTACGCAGAGGGTACAAGACCGAACCGCTACAGAAGGGACAATGATCGACGATCGCGATGACAACCGGAAAGAGAGAATTGAATGCTGTATATTTTGTGCCATTACAAATAGTCTATAATAAAGAAACGAGTACCCGAAGAAGCAATAAATGAACAGACAACGACGACGGCCCGACAAGGACATTAACCGACTTGGACGCGACCCGTAGTTTCCATTCACTTTCCCCTGACCGTACACCATATAGGATATTCAGGTAGATCAGGATCTTCTCGTCATCCGTGAAGCTCTCGAATTGGAACGCCAAAGCAAGAGAATCTCCCAGACAAGCTTTGAAGCTGGTTCATATTTTAACTCCTATCTTCCAATCTGCTGCTGAATGTCGCCTTGCTTTGGAGTGCTTAATTGAATGTGTTTTAATTAGGTTAGAAATCTCAACCGAAGCAGAAGCTACTGACCAACCAACCAACCAACCATATGACAGACCGGACAACTCACATGGCCCTTGACCCGAGTGAACCCAGAAATCTGCTGCCAGGATTGGGGCGAGTCTTATATCTATAGTTTTGTTCCGCAAAATTTGGGTTAGACTCTTCGACTAAGTCCACCAAGTCCCCGATAAAAACAACAACATAATGAAACATAGATGAACCTTTAATTTAGAGAGTCAATTATTATTATTTCGTAATTTAAATTACTGAAAATTTGTTGAATATGATTTTTGGTTTGAATTTTCGCCTCGATTAAGTTTATGTTTATCTTTCGAAATAGAATTTCCTTATCATTTTCTGTTCCTTAATGCAAAGAAGCTGCAACTAAAATTTCGTTGTTATCCGTAAGAGAAATAAAATAAAAACCAAGCAAAAATAAGAAGGAAGCTGGAGATGGAGGACGGAGGAGCCAAGCAGCTATACATTTATTGTTAAACAAAATAATTAGCTTAGCGTATAAACTACATATGTATATGTACCATCTAATAATATATAGGAAAGTGAAAGAAAAAATGCTAAAATCTAAAACTATAATAAAAGAGAAACCACATGATTAGTTAAAGTTAAACGAGAACTTTGTGTTGCCTTTTCTTATGATTTTCTATACATCCTTCACAGCTATTGATTTTTATCCTGAGTTTTCTGCTTTTGTACATCGAACTTTTGGCAGGACCTCTCTCGCTGGCTCGAACACTGAAACCCCAATCTCGATACACTTTCCGGAACTTCTCTAGAACTGTATGTCTAAATGTACATAACAATAATTTACAAGAAACAGAAACGCGACTACGAGTATATACATACGCATAGCCATGTAAGTAGGTTAGGAGCATCCAGTCTAGGATCAAACACGCCCGGTCCTCTCCTCCAAAGCAATCGGTCACCGTCAGACATCCTTGCATCCTTTCACCATTGAAAACGCGAACATTAACCTAAGTATGAATAGCTTTCTAGAAAATACTCGGCTTGACACTTGATAGATAACTCTCATATAGCAACCACATAGTAACGAAAACGTACCAAGTAAGTTAGTGAACCAAACTGCTCAAGATTTCGAATAGATTCCGAAAGACACCTACTGTAAGCACGGAAGAAACAGAAAACGCTTTGTTGGCCAGGTCCCGAGAAATAATAGAAAGTAGAAGGGAGAGCGAAGGACAGTATCCAAGTATCCTGAAGTATCGAACACTTGCTCCTGTTGTGCATTTCTTTGTTTGTTGCTCTGTTGATAAGAAAACATAAACCAAAAATTGTTGAAGTCTAAAAGAATGTTGAGAAAGTAGGTTAGGAGGCGGGAATGTGCTAGCAGAAGAAGGACTAAACAAACTGGCGGAATATGTTATACAAACTATTAATTATTATTATTATCACTGCATCGTAACGACTCGATTCGATTGGTAGAATGCAACATTGCAATATTGCAACTCCAGCCACGACAACAGCAACAGCAACTCGAACAACCAAGAAATGAGACAAAGACAAAAATCAGAGGGCGGCGTTTTTATCGACGAGGTTAACTCTATTGATAGTGAGGAAGTGGTCTAATGATTAATGATAAATATTATTAAAAAAGAAAACAAACGAGAAAACAAACAAAAAAATGTATTTATTTTAATTTATATATACACTAGAGAGTTATTAAAAATATATATATACATAATGTATAAGGAGAAAGAAACAAATGCAGTTTTTTCTTGGGTTTGCGATGGAAAGAACGATATATTAATGAAAGCTTAATATTGTTCAGTGAATGTTATCTCTCCCAGCGGACATTTAACATAAATACTGTCTGGCTAAATAGCCCAACTTGGCCCACATGATTTATGGGCCAGGAGAACGCATTCGACAGTCGTTTACCACCACGAAATGATGTCCTTTGGCACATGTTGCCCCAGACTGGCCATAAAAAACGTGAACAAACAGGGCTAAGGCCAGGAATTGTGCAAACATTCATACTGGATAGTAGGTGTATGGTGTCCTGGTGTCCACTATCTGGCCCAGACCCAGACAATTAAGACATATTTCAGGGGTTGACCAGGGATCTTAACATCTTCATAACACGCGCGACCCAAAGGCCGGAATAGGTAGCCGCAGACAATCGAATATGCCACCAACAGTTTTTGGTAAGAGCCAGCCCCGAAACCCCGAAAACCAAGAAATAAACCAACTGGAAACGGACCCAACAAATTACCCTTAAATTTCCACCGATCAAGGGAAAGTGCACTGAGAAAAATGGACAAAATTGCTTCTAAGGATAACAAATATTTTATACTGACCTTTTTAAATTTCTCCAAGTGCTACCTGTCTGGCCCTCCCTTTGATGCTATCACTGTTCGATTCGATGGCTATCTGGTTGGAGGTCAGCACATAAATCTGCCAGCCAAATGGTCAAGATCCAAAGGGATAGACATCGAATGAAAGAAAACCAAGCCCGAAAACCCAAAAACGACCGACTGCGACAGGTTGCAGCTCAATAAAGATCTAAATAAATATTATATCGCCGGCCCATGGGCCTCTGACAAAGGGGGTAGGAGATGAAAAGGATGAGTTCATTTAGGGTTCGCGGTTAGAGGAATCCTACCTGTTACCCAAAAGGTTCAACCTGTTCGCTGTGGTTCGGCGAAGGCGGTGGCGGTGGAAATCAAATGGTCGAGGCTTTTGTAAACGGGTGACATTTAAAAATTATGGCATGTAAATGGAAGGCGTTCCGGGAAGACCGCTGGCGTTGACAGCATCTTCGCTTTGGGAACGTTGGGCCGTGGTCTTCTGGGCCGGGGGGCTACTGTTAATCAATTTAGAGCCTTCTTAGATGGTAGAGTTGTGTCTTCTCTTAGGCAGATGTGGTCCCAGATAAGCCAGAACCTGCCCTTTTGGAATAGACTAGGAATATTATGAAGTTATTAAAGACTAGAATGAAGTTTCCTTAAAAAATAATCAATTTTTTATGGATATCTCCTTATCCAAACAATGGTTAGTGGCGTGTTCATTGCAAACATAAAGTCAATGGCAGTGAACACCTAAAATTTCTCACTTTTTTCAATTAGCTTCCATTACTTCCTGCAGGTTCGTAGATTTTGATGCTTTTTACTGTGCGGCACCCCACGGGGCGTATGCGTGTTAAAGCTACCAGCTGCTGTCAGGCTTTTGGGCTGCCTTTTGATAAATGTACCGCTATTAAAGTGCCGCCTTTGTAATGCGGAAACATCAAAGTGCACTCTCTCACACAAACGCAAACATTTGCATTCTCTCACACACACACACACACACACTCGAGCGTATGTATGTGGGCACACATAGACCGAAAGCCATAAAAATCACTTTGTAGCCATGGAGGCGGCGCATCAGTGCAAACTATGCAACAAAAACAACAACAGCAGCGAGAAAAAGTGCAATGCAATCAATTCGAAGGAGAGAAAGGAGAAGGGGGGAAATGCAAAGGGGGTTTGCACTTACACTGGGAAAAAAATTTTGTAAAAAAGGAGAGAAGGTTATAAATGAAGAAAGTAAAAGAAAAGTAAGCAGCTAAAGCTAGACATTCAATAATAATAAATATTTGTATATAGTGTTAATAAAAATATGTATAAGCTTTTCAAAATAAATTATATTTTCCATAATATTTTATCGTTTTTTTTATGTTAATTATTTTAACTATCCTCTCAGTGCCTTAACAAGAGTACGAGAGCCAGCAGACGGCTGTATTTAATCCTGCAAAAAAGGCATTGCGAGGCAGCATAAAATTATGTTAATCCTTAAATAACGTGAGCAAAGCAAAAAGGCCGGGAGAGAAGCGTAAAGCGGGGGGCGCCAGGGGAGGCGGAGTGGGACACTGAATGATGGCGACAGCCAAATGCCAATTGAATGCCAAGCGGCTTTAAGAGACAGCCCACGACGGCCAGTGGAGGAGGGCAGTGGATGAAAAATGGGGCGAAGTAATGGCCAAAGTGCTTGCCAGACTCGCAGCAGCCAAAAGTCAAAGGAGTAACCGCAAAAGTGCGGTGAGCTAAGCCCCCGGCTTGAAATGGAGTTTAAATCAAAGGATAAGGATCTCCAAAGGGTAATATTTTAAGCTTGGATTTAAATAAGAGTTCAAGACAAGTGTTGAGGAAGAGTTACTTGCCCTAAGAACTCTATTGATTAAAAAATTATTTTTTATGGAGCTTTCACTCCTATACTAATCCTTCTGGCATTCTATCACCCAAAAAAATTAAGCTAAAAAATAATTTTAAAGAAAAAGAATCCAAAAGCATACAGAGACAGCAGTACTTCCCTCCGCGTCAAGCGGTTTGACCCCAAAAAAGTCAAGTGCGGCGGAGTTCGAGTTCCGTTTCCCGCTTATACCAATAACAAAAACAACAACAAAAACAAGACACTGCACCCTCTCCCCCTGGGGGGCTACCAACAGTTTCCACTCAGTTTTATGAAGTGGCCGAGTTGGCACGCGCCGGCGCAATCAATTGGCGGGATGAAGAGCTCGGATCTGGTCGAAAGTCACTCAAAATGGGGGACGCCAGCTCCGAACTCGTTCTCCAGATAAGGGGCGTGCCCAGAGCAACCAATCATCATCCGGTAAGAGGGGCACAGCTGTCGCTGGCCGGCGACTTAAAACCAGTTGAGCGGGTTTCCGAGTCGAGTGGTGTTGTTCGTGGTGGTGGTGGTAGTGTTGCCGGCAGTTTAAGTGGTGGTGCTGGCTTACCTGTGAGAGTGTGCTCCCAGTAGAAGTAGTGGTGGTGGTGGTGGTGGTGGTGTTTGGGCATATGGAAGTCGCCTTTGCCAGTTAGCAGTTACCAGTTGCCAGATCCCTGAGCTGCTCTCGAGCACCAGAAACAGAAACAGCCCGGCAGTCAGCGCTGTGGCCTCGAAGCTGTAACAACATCTCGCGTCGTCGCTCATCTCTCAGATACTCCTCCGTTCTCGCTCCGTGTTTGTCGTCTCCGGGCCGGGAGCGGAGTTCCGTGCTAACGTGTTATCACCGCACGCGTTTCGCGTCGCTCTTGATAAGGTGTCCCCTATGCGATTCCGATTCCAAATCGATTCTGTACTAAATCTATCCATAGAGATCCGTAACACCGTCGGTCATACCACAGAGTGAACTGTTACCGTATCGCAAGTGCTAATCAAATCTAAAAATGTTGCAAGCTTTCGCAAATTGATCCACTTTTCGGATATATGAATTTTGGTTTAATAATAGCCTTACAGAGTATAATATTACATAAGTAAGAAACAAAGCTAAAATAAATAAAAGAAAGCAAGGCTTGAAAGCAAAAGCTAAAGCTGGCAAGAGAATTTTGTGCAAAAGACTTGGATTAAAAACCGCCAAAATTGTGGAGGCAATTAAAATGAAGGTTAGTGATTCAGGACTAAATTATTACATCAAATATTAATAAAAATAATATTTGAGAATTAGTGTAGAGCTCAGATTTCATTCGAAACAAAAGTATATCTGTTTTAAAACTTTAAAACTAAATGCCAAATGTTTTGCTATAATATTATTTCTATAAAGAACCTAAAGTCCACTTCCTAACATCCCAAAATTAAAGATCAAAAGTCTAAGTCAATTAAAAACCCATTAAATCGCTTTATTGTTTTTATAAGATCTTTGAACAAAGCCAATTTTAATGGGGAATTAAATGTAACTTTTGGAATTCATTAAAAATTTCCAAACTAGTTGTGTTTACAACTACACCTTTGATTTATGAAGAACCATTAGGAATGCATAAAAAAAGTATATTTAAAAAAAAGGTGAACCTAGGAACTCTTAATTGATACACCCCCTCCAAATTATTTACTTTACTTTTTAATTGCTTCTCATGTACGATGGGGACCCGAGTGACCCACAAAACACTCTTTTGTTGCCAGTTTCTTGGCCCGCTGCGAGCATTTGTGGCCAAAAACGCAACAGGCGGCGTTCCAGCCAACCATTAGGAGTAACAAACCAGTAAAGAGCTTTAAACCAGAGCAAAATAGTTCACATCTCCGTGTAGCCTAAGGTTCCATAGACCGATCTGGGGTCTCCGGCACTAAGAGCCGCTGGAAAACGATGAGTTTCCAAAACGGAGACGACATTGGAGCGCGGTGAATATGAAAAGCACACAAATCGCTCAGTGGGGTGCATCAAAAATAATAATAAGGGAAAAATTATACATACGAACATGACGATCGCAGCCTCACATCGCAGCCCACACTGTTGGCCTACGAATCGGGCATATAAACGTATATATATTGGCTGTGAAATGAAGGCTGTGATATTCGGGTGTATCTGCAACCAAACCCCAAAAAAATCCATTGGCCAACAGTTTCTTCCCAACTTTATTCCCTCGATGTTGCATTGATCGTGTCGCCTAGATGATGTTGCTCAATTCGATGTTCATTCAATAACAAATACTCGCTTGTTTTTTGAATTTGATTTTCATATCTTTTTTTTGTTGGAATTTTTGTGGGCTAAAACGTTTAATCGATTTTTGCACCCGCTGTGCAAGAGGGCTTTTTGTGTGTGCCAACGAACCACCCACAGGATTTTGGAAACATTTTTTGGCATGAGTGTGCAGAGAATTGATCATGATTTATGCTCGCGGATCACCGATCGCCGATGATCGATTTGCCACGGCTTTGTTCGACGAATATAATTTTCATTACCATAGCAAATTGGACAAGGTGCTGACGCTTATTGCCCGGCCGACGTTATGCTCTTAATCGCCGTAGATCGGCTAGAATATTCTCCAACTGTCAAAGGGCGATCAGTGGGGGGTATCGCCTATTCCCGATCCCCAAAAAGGCCGATCGGCGGCTTACAAGTCCCCAGAATTCAAATGTCAACATCTCTCCGTCGGCGAGATACCTTTTCTTGACATCATCGATCTTGACCCGACCCAGTCGTTGGTCCAGGAGGGGGATAGACCGATACACCCAAGCCTCTTATTTTTTGTATATATCATCCACATCCAAATCCGAATCCGAATCCGAAAATGACGCCACTAGGCGCTGGCTTATGAATATTCAACAATGTATGGATGGCGGAGGCTTTTTCTCCACGATCTGTAGGTAGTCGGAGAAAGAGATATAAAAAAGGCATAAATATTTAAGCGGTTAAATGTCGAATGCCTGCAAAGCAGCTATAAAAAGCATATATACATATTTTCAATAAATGCGCTTTCATTAATAATTCACAAGAAAATTGAATCAGTGTGGAGCCATAAATTTACACAATGTAATATACTGGAGTAATACCATATCTTTACTATCTTGAGGGTACTGACTTATCCTATCTCCATATACTGATTAGTTTTGAGTGGTCAACAAAACACCTTTTGTAGATTATAGTATTAATCACAAAAAGAAAACAAAAGCCAAGCGCGTGCCTTTCCAAAAGAAGGATTCAAGGACTACTATATATGGAGGAACAAAACTAACCAGCTGCTTGACCAGCGGTCTGCAGATTTTCAACCGTGTCCCAAATCGTAATTGGATTCGAAAACTCAAGAGTGTCCTGTGTCCCGGCTATCTGGCTAATTGTCAATGCTGACAAGAAGTATCCGCCTCGAGACCCGTACAAAACACACAATGGACAAGCAGAAAATGCATCTTGACTTGAGCCAATTGCCCCGATCGGGGACAAAGAGAAACAAATATCACACCTTTGTTTATGCCTCGCCCAGAGACAATAGATCTTCCCAAACACACGCAGATTCTGGTCAGTTTTTGGTCCTCTTTCCGGGTTGCGCATGCGATCTCTTCCAGGGAGATCCCTAGGGTAATACGTGTCAAAATCCCAGCGGCATTTTTAGCAGGTAAATGCGAAAACAGTCCCCTCTCCAAAAAAGAAAAAATCTTCAAATGAAAATCAAATGCAGGAGGCAAGGAGTCAGCAGACAGGAGTCGGGAATCGGGAGACAGGGCCTGAGACTCTCAGGGCAACCGCACAAAAGAAGAAGGCGAGTCGAGTGTCTTCCATTGTTCGTTCGAGTGCATCCACAAAATAGTCCTTAAAGGACGCTTAGTTGGCTTACAAATGATGCATGGGCCCTCGGCATGGAGGTACGGAGGGACGGAGGGTTCCGGAGTTGGCAGCAAATAAAATTGTAAAATGCCACAAATCATTGCAACTCCTGTCCGGGCTGCCAGCCAGCCAGCCCACAAATAAAAAAGGGAAAAAACAGAATCAGGGAACCCAAAAAACCCGCCCCTAAAATTTACAGGACTCCCAGGACAACAATTCGATTTGATTTTCGGTCAAAAATTCCACACAACTTTTATCGTTTGCCAAAATAAATGTTCTCAGTTCGGAGATGCTGCCTCTGGGAGTGTGTTTTTGTTGGCCACTGGAAATATTGGTATTTAATTGTTTGACAATTGCAAATTGGCCCAATCGAGCTTTGGCCCAAAACAGATCTCACTGCCAGCTTATTGATGGTATCTGGCGAACAGTAGCCGGCGAGTGATTAGTTTTAAGGGATTCCAAACTAGTTTCGATATCGGATCGCTTGTTTCTGGGGCTTTTTGAAACTCACCGCTAAAATCATTCAAAGTCACCTCCGTCGAATAGACCAAATAAATTATCGGCTAGAACTCTGGCGGTGGCCCAAAAAAATACGGCTCGGGACTTGATTTATTGGCCCACAAAATAACAAAACAACAATAGCCGAAAGCCGATTTGCATTGCCGACCTGGGGCTCCGTTCGGCTGAAATATGAAAATATTATTTGTAATTTATGCAAAATGCAGATTTAGCTAATTAATTGTGGCCAATGCCCAATAAAAAGTAAGAAATCAAACACGAAATCCCCTCTAAAAACTCCGCACAAAGATGAGCTGTAAAACCCAGAAACAGAGAAAATCAATAAAAGCCCAACTTATTGATGTTTAGTGGCTGTGACATGTTGACGAAAAGACAAAAGCACCTCGCAGTTTCGGCTTCAGACTCACTCCTCGACCCTCAGACCTGACCAACTCCTGGCCAGCTTTATGATGAATGCCTTAAAAATGCGCAAAGAATTATGGGAATATAAAAAAGATACAGATACAGAGACATAAAAAAAAGCAACAGAGAACAAGAAAAACGTGTGTCGAAAACGTTTGAGATACTTGCGGGCGATTTATAAGCGATTTATTAAGAGTCAGACATGGGGATTTTCTCTCAGCCAGACTTTGACTTTGGCGTTGCCTTTGAGTTGTTTGAACAACTGCGACGGACCAACAGTACTCTCCTCTGAATTTATGCAAAAAATAAATTAAATAAAAATAATATTATGGCGAAATAAAAGCACAAAATAATGCATGTCGATAGCGGTGGAAAAAATGGCAAACGAAATGTTTTGCGAGGGTGGCTACACCAGCATTTCTGAATTTCCAATCATAAATGTGAATAAAGGCAGTATCAGCTCCACCAAGTTGAATGCAAATGCCTTTTATTGAAATTTATTGCCTAACAAATTGCATAGCCCCGGGGTGCGCTCTATTATTCCAGACAACGCCATAACTCGCACACTTTATGCATTCCAAATAAATTCGATAGAGATTATCTTTAATTAAGAGTTAATAAATGTGCAGCCCAGATCAAGATCGGAAAACAAAGGGAGAAGCATAACTTAAAGTGACATTGCCACAAGCCATTGTACTGTTTCGGATAGAGATATCTTATCTTAGGATTTTTGAGGCTATTTCGAAAATTTTCGAAACTGAATTATAAGTAATACCCTATTAAGATCTTGTATCCTAAACATCTATTACCATATAATTTGATGTATTTCTTAAATAAAAGTATTACCCGTTTTACCATATCTTTGAGGGCCGCCTTAAAGATCCCTCTATAGATCGTGTATCCTAAAAACCCATTACCATAGAACTTGAGCTTATCAATTTTGGGAACAAAAGCCTGGATCTGTCGCCACATAATGTATAATTTACAAGTTCGTTTCGATTTTGGGACAGCTGCCGAAAGCCGCAGCCGATGATTTAAATACGAAACAAGTTCAGGAAATCATTTAACTTCAAAAAAAAAAAAGACTGACAAAAAATAGAAGCAAATCGAAAAGCCATTTCCAGATTGCTGCCACCGGCCATCCGAATTTTGAGACTAATTCCACCTTCGATGCTTTTATTTTGTGGTTTCTTGTAGTGTGTGTTATGTTTTTTTTATATTTATTCGGAATGTCGTTGACGCTGGTCGTTCGCTTTGAAATTTAATATCGAAACGTTGTCTATGCAAATGAACATTGCCACCTGTTTATGTTTATGGTCGGTGGAAATGGCAGCAGCCATCCAGCGGCAGCTATAGAAGCTCCACAGATACAAAACACAAAAAAAAAATTAAGAAAATAAAACGGTATTAGCTGCATAAGTCGGGCGA